GTGTGTGTTGGTGCATACACAGAAATATTTACAGCATGAACCCAGGCGGTTCACATTGGGATTGGAAGTAGTACACAAACGTGCATGCTCGTACACATGCCTACCTGGTGGAGCAGGGGGAGGGAGTCTGGGAGGGGGTCCTCGCGGTGGGGGGCCTGGTGGGAGACCTGGAGGGGGGCCTGGCGGGGGTCCTGGGGGCCGACCCGGGGGAGGTCCAGGAGGCAGGAGACGAGGCATTGGACCCCTCATGCCTCCAGGCATACCAGGAGGCCTCAGGAACGGTGGAGCACCTGAAGACAGAACGCATCATCTAAAACAGTGTTTCTATAACTTTTTCTTCTGGAACATACTCCTTTAAAAAAAAAAAAAAAAAACCCGTTGTGACACAATTCACAAAAGGCCCTGTATCTTTGAATTGTGAGAACAGCAAAATTGATCGGACCATTTCTGCTGGCATTTAGCCAATTACCTTGAAAAAAAAGATATTGAAGATTTATGTATTGGAGAAATCCCAAATGTGTGTTTAATGTGTTTGTTATTAAATGGACATGTTAAATGTCTATATGAATAAGACCAAATAAATACACTAATGTAGAGTTGTAACTTCTTATTCAGTCTTTTAAGATAATCAAACACTAGCCTTTTATATGCGATCAGTGGTATAATATGACATTTTATTCATAAAATCTATCCAACGTGGTGGTGGCCAATGTGACCTGAAATTTAATCTCAATGGTTTTTTTTTTTTGTGAGGGTATTATTTTACGGTATTATAAAATTATAAATGGTTACTCCACTCAAAACAAGATCAAACTCTTCACTCAATCAACAATACTGGGAAACCCATCTTAAAAAATGGCTCTGAATAAGCAGGAAACTACGTGGGAATGACGTAGTTCACTGGGTTTTAAATCTGTGTATATGCACGCGGTTTGTCACAGTAAAGCAGCTATTGCCAAAAAAGGGTCCATGCCAAACGTGACACCAGCGACGTTGCTGAAACAAATCCTAATTAGCTCCTTCCTGAGTCCAAGGGGACTTTGTGCAGTTAAGAGTCAGATAGGTTAAGAGGTTTAGTCGAGTGTTGAGTTCAGAGCATCGCGTTCCAGCTAATAAACGTTAAACCAACCTGGTGGTGGACCTGGAGGCGGGCCAGAGGGTGGACCAGGAGGCCTCATTGGAGGAGCTGGGGGCGGGCCAAGGGGTGGAGGCCCAGTCATCGGCGGACCCTGCAGGTGTGGAGGCCCTTGCTGTCCCACCGGCCCAGACGGAGGGGGTAGGCGCTGATTAGCAATAAGGCGGGGCGGGGCTTCCCCCGGGGGTCCCCTGTCCTCGATGTCCGAGCTGTCAGATTCATCTGTGTATTCCTCCTCTACCTCTTCCTCCTCTTCTTCATCATCATCAGGTACTGACTGACCTGGAGACGGAAAAAAACAACAACAACACAACGGCACGTCATCAGAAACAGTAATTAAAGTCTGCTGGCGTAGCAAGTATGGAGCACTACTGCACCTGCCATCCTCAACATCATAGCCTGCAGTGGGGTAATGGCCTTGGTCTTCTTCACTATCCTCTTCTTCTTCTTCTTTCCTTCACGGATTGCTTCTGGCGGCATGTCAGCGAACCGCACACTGCGACCTACAGTAGCTAAACATGAGAACATTCATCAATAGATGAATAACTCAAAGCCATAACATGTTAAAGCGATTTTTAAAGAACACTCACCTGCATGTCTTTCTTTTCTGTCCCTATCCTCCTCCTTTTCCCTCTCATCATCGACCCTGTCCACACTCATCCTCAGGTCCCCGTCTCCTCCTTCCTCTTTCTCGTCTTCGCTGTCCTCCTCGGAGTCGCTTTCGTCGTCGTCCACATCATCCCGATCTCGGTCACTCTCGCTGCCGCTGTCGCGATCTCTTCCCAACTCCATCGGAGAGTCCTTTTCTAAACCGGGAATGGACGGCTCTGTGCAAGAAGACAACAAAGAGAATGAATGAGTAAGGGCCTCAGGCAAAAACACCATTCTGACAGCAAATATTTGTATTGATTTAAAGGAAAACCTGCATTCAGAAATGTTGTCATTAAGGGTTTGTGCGTTACCTGCGTCTGTGCCATGAGCCCGTCGAGCAGGGATGCCGTACAGGGCCAGAACCTGTGGAGGCGGGGGCCCAGGTGGGGGTCCAGGGGGCTTCCTTCCTGGAGGTAAGCGCGGCACACCTGGCACAGTTGCCAAAATCGGCCCAGACAGAAGGCTTTTACTGAGGGATGCAGAAAAACAGAATTCCCACATAGGTGAATGACCTTGGTGGCACAGCGCAACGCTGCAGCATCATTTTGGGCATAAGGTCGTCCCTGTGTTGATTGAGACCCTAAACTCATGTTCACTGAGGTAATAAATCAAGTGAGAAGTAGGACAATTTTTCCTCATACTCAAAACTGGCTTTATTAAGCTTTGTGTGCAGATGTTAATAACTACCCAAAAGTGACGTTTTTCTTCAGGATGGAGGGGGGCTGAGCTCCTGGCAGTGGGATGTCCTGGATGTGGATATTGGAGGGTGCATGAGGCATATCTGGTAGAGGGATACTGTCAACCTCCACTGACTCCGCATTCTGAAAAAGAGCACATAAAACCCAGGTTAGAAAATAGCATCACAAGGTGATGCCAAAAGAACGTGCTCATTCTTAGCAGTGGGCGAAGATTAAAACAAATCTATTTTAACACCTCTGGAGCGTCATGCCTGCCGCATGTTCAAACAAAAGAGTGTACAAATTCTGATCTGTAACAGGGAAGAAAAGGGAATCCAAACAAATATACATAAACACACCTTGACTGAATCAAAATAGAGAGCCAGCTGCCCTCGTTTGGTCTCATAGTCCAACTCAATCTTGCGTAGCTCCTTGTAGGTTTCGGGATTCTCCCTCTCGTAGAGACGGACGATGCGCTCAAACGTCTCGCGTAGCTTCTTCCTCTTGTCCCTCAGCACTTTCTCATTCAACAAGGGCTGCTGGACTGGGTTGAACTCTGTCGACGTTCCACAAAAGCAGAACATTTTAACAAAAACATCAACTTTGGGAATTGATGACCTTTTGTTATCGGTAAACGAACAAACAAAATATAAGGCCATCAATCGAACTTTGCAGTTAGAATGATTAGGAACATTAGACTTATTTACAGACACGTCAGAAAGTCAGTTGGACAGAAACCTTTATATTTAAATGTAGCCCCCTCACCCATCTCATCCAGCTTCTCCATGTCTCTAATGATCTGTCTGGGGTCCTTCATCTTCAGAACAGCAGCTCGAACCATCATTCGCTGCTTCTTGTTCTATGAAAAATATTAAAAAAGGAAGCAACATTTTATTAACACCACCCCAGTGAAAGCGTAGGTCAAAAGTGGATTCGTTTGAAGACCATTCTTACCTTTTTTAACTCCCTTTTTCTGGCCTCCTTTCCTGAGAGAGAGAAGGGGAACAAGGGGTCGCTAGTTATTCCTCTGGGACTTGAAAACATTGAATTAATAGCTGTGCAGGCGTCATCCAGGAGGCCGGTACCCGCTGTTGGTTATGGTCGGTACTTACTGGCCTGGTCGGTCGGGTTCATGAACTTCCCACTCTTGGTGGAGGAGGTTGAACGTCTCCCCATCTTGCCGGTGCGTCTCCTTCACCCTGCCAAGTAATCGAATACCAGAAATGAAACCATTGAAAGAGAAAGTGCGTCCTAACTGTTGACTGGTACTACATGTAAAAAATGAGCAGAGCCGTCAGTGTCCACGGAGTAAATATAACCATCATCATGGTATATATTTAATCTCATAATCAACCCAAATAGGTTCCTCGAAACCAGATGAGCATCTTTGCGATGGCGGTCCGCTCCTTTGACTTTAATCACGTATGCAAACTCGTTACCTTTTCATTCCTTACATTTACATTGCTAAGACTTGTGAAAACTGGTGCTGCATGTTAAAATAGCATAACTAAGGAAAAGAAGCACTACCGTTGCGCTTCGTTGAATGTTGATAGCGATGGTTAGGGAGGGTTAGTTCCACAACGAAACGCACAGCTAACTTACGAGCAAAGCCCATCTAACGTCTCTCTCTCTCTCTTAAGATACCACGTATTAACTTGTTCAAACGCAGCAGGGGGCTTATGTGCCGATCGATAATAAAACCGATCGAATGATATATGCGACAGATATCGAACAGGTATATCTGCTCAGAGCGGACCATGCAGCGCTTGGCTGGCAGATGCTAACTGTAGGCTAGCGTCGGGCTAACTGTTGACGTTAGTTTGCTCGGGTAGCTAGCAAGGGCCGCGTTAGCAGCGACAGCGGCAAAGGGGGAGAAGGCTGGACTTTACCTTTAATTCCAGGAAATTCCGTAGAGCGTAACGCCCCACACACGCACCTCTGCGTACGACAATAAAAGTTAAGTGAAAAGTATCGTGTAAGGCTACGCTGTGGAAGATAAATGCAACACCTTCAGGAATGAATGCATGTACAGGCTGCTTTAGCCGGTCGCCATGTTTACTGACGCAGTCAGGCAGGAGGGGCTAATTTACTGACGTCATCAAAAGGGTCGCCGTGGTTTTCTTTTTTTAAAGATTTATTTGATTATATTGACAATCGTAATACAATGTACTCATGGAATGTATCAATAAATGAATCAACAAAAAATAAAACATAACTAACTAAATAGACAATCGAAAATATAGAGATCTAGGAGAGAAATTAACATAATATAATTCATTATTCATCATTATACACATTTATTTATTAAAGTGATTTATTTCTCTTAAAAGTCTTAAAATGTATATTTTGTAGTAGTTGCTATCTTATGGTGTTCACACTATTAGGCTCAGAATCAAAGAGTTTGACACAAAATAGTTGGATAGTTGAAACGAAAAAATACAAATAAGATGGTAATTAAACCCTAGATGTTCAATGTATATGTAGTATTAGGGTTAGGTAGGTAAGTATTTTCAATTAGTAATGGGATGTTATAATTGTTCTATTATCTTCTACTACTATTTTCACAATCACCAGGTAACCACATCCAAAAGCACACCTTTATTTATCCTTTATTTTACTCTAAATGGTATCAGTTATAAAATCGACATCAACACTGAAACTCTGTTAGGAAAACAAGAGAGAATAAACAACACATTTTGGTTTATAACAATAAGCAGAAAGCATGAAAAGATACTACATATACCTGAAATAACCATGAGTGCAAAGTGAATGTGTCAAAGAACAACATTGGTATTTAATTTATTGTTCCCAGATCACAGAATTGAAATTCTTAATTTAATCACCGATGACCTACTGGCGGATACTGTACATTTTGCTGACATCACAATGGATTTGGGATGAAACCAGTTTGTCGTTCGGAAGCTTTACCTTTCAGACAGCGGACCTGATGTTTTAAAAGAGACACCGAAAACACACCAGAATCCAAACGATGAAACATACCCAGGAACTGTAATAAAATAGGAAAAAACAACTGATTAATAACTGATGTTACACACAGAGAGGGAGAGAGTATAACCTCCTGTCTCGTTCTTATTATCTTGTCTTGCCCATCACCCCTCCACACCACCCGAGGGCGGTAAAGCGCCATAAAGCGGCTTTCCAGCCGCCACGGACACGAAGAAGGAGACTTTCTTTCTGCAACCAGAGGAGTCGCTCCCTCATTGGCCCGCGGACAGAATGCGGGTTTAACGCACTTCCGCCTTGGCTTCACTTTCCAGACTCGACCAAATGCCTCGTCCCGCCTGTCACGGGCCGGCGGCGTCTTCGTCTTCTTCTTCTCTTCTCCCACGCGGCCCGTGGGGGTCATCGGTGGTTTCGTCCACGAACTTCAACGCTTTCACGGCGCGGTTTCAGGCCGTTAAAGTTGACCGTCCCAGTTCGGACCGCCGTGTGAGATGTCTTGTTCGGCCTACGGTTGTACCAAAAGACATTGCAAGGGATCGGACGTTAATTTCTTCCGGTAAGTAACGCGACATTTGGGTCTTTTAAGCTGAAATGAGCATCCCCTATCTGACGTCCTCCCTTAACTTAGCTCGCTCGCTTCTGCGTCTGTTTGTGTGTGAATACACGTTTATTCTACTGTTGACATCAGTGGGGGAGGAGACGCAGCGATGGCGCGTCGCTGCCCCCTGCCGGTCATTGGTGGAACTCCACATGCGGCCTTGAAGTCCAGTACGACGGCGACTGCCAATTACAGCTGGATTACATTCTGCATGATTATTGTTTTTTTTTAGTGAATTGCCCTTTACTCTTATTCCAGAGGAGTCTGCTTGCACGAGGCCTTTCGCTGTGAAAGTTGGTGCATTATGTCATATTCACAGCTTATGCACAACAGCGCTCCCCAAAATTGAATATCTTCCCACCCCCCAGTACCATCAATGTTGCAGTAGAATCTGAGCATATCTCTCCCCATGCAACGTCCTCCATCCGCCCAGGTGTCCATAATACCTACCTCAAGCCTCTGTAGTAAAGAACAGCACAGGATATGATATGCACTTTTCAACACTGTGTTTGTCATAATGCATGAAATCTGAATTTGTGAAACTGTCACTTTTCCCTTCTAACAGGTTTCCTTTTGGCGATAATGTGAGGCTGAACCAGTGGCTGCTGAATGTGAGAAGAAGGAACTGGAGCCCATCTAAAAGTTCACGCCTGTGCAGTACGCACTTCAAGGAGGATCAGTTCTTCATAGACAATGAGGTAGACGGATACATTGTAGTGCACTAAACCAAACACTGACTCTAGAGAGAGCCTTTGGTATCTTTACATTACCTGAAGGCCACGGTAGTTCTCTTCCACGCTTGGAAAGGGCGGCGGGAGTTATAAGTCGAACGGGGTTTTCTTTTGGCTCCAATCTGCAACCTCACCGCTAGATGTCACTGTGTCCCCCACACTGCTCCTTTTAAATTACCACATACAGAATTGATCATGAAGAAAAGAAAGAAATGGTATGTATAACCACTTACCTACTGGTGTCTTCTTTATTCATCTGTAGGGCAAGAGGAGGCTGAAGGAGACTGCTGTGCCTACCATTTTCGTCTTTCAAAACCATTGGTTGATCGAGGATGTGACAAACACGATCACACAGACCAGCCTGCTGAGTTTAAAAACCAACATCGGTGGCGAACCTTATCACAACGTTGTCAATTCCGAGCAAGCGCCTATCGAGGAGGACGACGACACCGCCAACTACGGCGTGGACGGTGTCCTTGACGACGTCCTCGACGACGACGACATCGTCAGGGTGATCGTCGGCGGCGAGGTCGACGAGGTCATTTCCGACGACGATACCGAGGGCTCGACGAGCGTAACGCCACAATCCGCTTTGCATGATCACAGCTACCGGAGTCTGAAACAGGAGCAGATCTACGTGGACACCGACCACAACTACATTGTTTCGGGTTCTCCCAGGACACTGAAACGTAAAGTGGACGCAGTACAAGATCAGCTCATCCTGGCTCACAAAAAGCTCAAGCTAAAGTGTCAGGAGACGAGGCGAATGAAGTCCAGACTCTCGTCCATGAAGAATCTGACCAAGGATCTAAAGAAGAAGTTGAATGCGGTTGAAAAAGCTCTTGCAGCAGTTCACAAGTAACGGAGGTGATGTGCAAAAAGCACCGGGGCTGTGAGCTCAAAGCTACGGGGAAGAAGCTGTTTTCGGAAGTCTTTCCATGTTAAAAGTCTCTTGTGGAGATGCACTGATCGCAATTTTCTTCGCTGAAGTTTTCCTTTTTTGAAGAACTAAACCAGACTAACTATTTATATTATTCCTTATTATTCCTATCACTGTCTCCGAACCGTCCTGAAAATAATGTACAGTCCCGAAGCCTTTAGAGACCTGGAGCTGTAATCCTTCCACAGGATTTTATTTAAAATATTCCCTATATTTTGTTATTTGATGAAGAAAAAATCTTGTCAGTGTTTTTAGCCACGTGTCTTAAGCTGCTCGTAGCCAGGTTTAATATTTGTCATGTTTATTCATAATTAGATAATAAGCTCTACTACTAGAGGGCTCTACTATCTAAATAATAATGCTATAAAAACATATCCTGTAAAGAACTATATTTAATTATGTTTCTCCGCAAGAATACATTTTACATCACAATTGAACACATCACTGTTGTGTCATTTTTTTTTTTGCCCAATACTCTTTTTATTTTTATTAACAAAGCATCACAATCGAGTCCTTCGATGTATCTTGCTGCCAGTTGGAAGACGTCCTCCCTGTAGTCCTTAGACCGCGATGGCGGTTCTATAGTTCTGAAAGGTTTACGCTGTGACAGGAAGATGACGGAGGAGACTCGTCTCCTCCACCTGATCAAGAGCTGAAGGTGCAGAGACGAGTGGCACCGTGAGCAGGGCCGAGGCCGCCTCCACCTCGTGCAGCCATCCATTCAGTCCAATCAGCATTCAGCATTTTACTACGCCGACAACTGAATACTAAATGCATCATAATTCAGCTGGGAAAAGGGATAGAAAAGTGTCAATCATTCAACTTGACTCCATTCAAAGCGGCAATTGGTTTATTTAATTTAATTTACATATCAGTAAACTGAGTCTTATTAGTAGACTGATTGCTACTGTGATGAACATTTGGAGTCAACTAGGAGAGGGTGGAAATGTTGCCTAGACCTATTTTACCTTTTTTATTTTTGGACTTCACAATGATTTGATTTGATAAACTTATAAACTAAGTATGCTGGAGTGCTAACCAGAGGAAGGACGTTACCCGGTTGAGTCTTAACCCGAGTGGGACTCTGCTGACTGCTACATTAACGCAGTTGTGTTTGTGCATGAAGAGTCCAACAATAAGAGGCACCTGTGTCCTTAATCTCGTCCTGCTTCCTCAGGTCCTCCTTGACCTCGTCCTGCTTCCTCAGGTCCTCCTTATTCTCCTCCTGCTTCCTCAGGTCCTCCTTATTCTCCTCCTGCTTCCTCAGGTCCTCCTTGTTCTCCTCCTGCTTCCTCAGGTCCTCCTTGTTCTCGTCCTGCTTCCTCAGATCCTCCTTGACCTCGTCCTGCTTCCTCAGGTCCTCCTTGACCTCGTCCTGCTTCCTCAGGTCCTCCTTGACCTCTTCCTGCTTCCTCAGGTCCTCCTTGATCTCTTGACCTCTTCCTGCTTCCTCAGGTCCTCCTTGACCTCGTCCTGCTTCCTCAGGTCCTCCTTGATCTCGTCTTGCTTGATCCCGTCAATAGCCTCCCCGCTCCTCGTCTTCTCACGGCAGCTCGACGCGGGGAGGACACGCTGCCGTTGGTGTAACCCCTGTCCTGTGAGGTCTGCGACCTGGAACACGACTTCTTGGCACTTCAAAGAAGCTTGCTTATGGAGTTGGGACCTGTGACATCAGTTGCGAAGTCAACCCTCAACTCGAGGAGACTGTGATCAAATAATGTGGTTGTGCTTGGTTTGATTACTAATGATCAAACGTTGCTGGGAGCAGCAGGTGGAGTAAAGTGAAGCTTCAATAAAGCACATAATCTCCACTAATAAGCAACGGACAGTTTAATGAGCCGGGGCTTCAAGAGAAAACTCGTTCCAGGTGCCGGACAAAGATGTTTCCATTGACCGTTTTAATTTAAGTTTTACCACATAGACCCCAAAAAAGAAACATTTCAGTTTGAGTTAGCAGTTCTCCCAAAATGTGTCCAGGAGTGTCACCGAGCTGCTTCTCCCTCGCTGCAAAAGCCAAATGTGACACTAGGGGGCAGGAACGCCCTTCTGTTACAGTCCAGCAGACTCTGCAATAACAACAACAATAAAAGCTGTCCAGTGCTTGTTTTCCCCCAACTTCACATAATCCAGTTATAAATACTGCTTTCATTCTCGTCTGTAGATATTTAATTGATTTAATGCCAGTCAACTCGACTGCGCATTTTTTTTTACACAACTGCAAATATTTGAAGTTAATGAGATCAAATGGTTTGGGGCACAGGAGCCGTCCCCGAGATCGATCCCCTCTTTAAAAAAACGAGACACGTTTGTTTTGCAACTCAAAGCCCAAAGACAAGTTAGTCCATTATACAATCAGCCTTAAAACATATTACAAGTTTTATTTTGAAAGGTACTTTGGGATAGTGTGTTGAGAAAGACAGCTTAGCAATACATGATTAGGTTGTTTCAAATAGACACTGTCTAGAGGTCTTGGTGAAAAGGGGGGTTTGGAATAATAAGCGTAATAATCTGTCAGATTTCATGTAACAGTTTCAATTCCAACAATGTTTTCTCTGTTAGTCATCATAGTTTTACACTTTTGGGAGTCAGCTGATTTGAATGGTAGAAGTAATTCTTGGGCCACGGGAACAGATATGAATCAGACTGCATCAACAACACACGCATTATGCAGTTATTATGGCGTATTCATATGAAATAGGAGCTTCAAAAGAGAGACAAGCACAATCACTTTCCCCTGCAGGTTCTCAAAAGGTCAGTATCTGTTGACATACGTCGGATTAATTAACAACACTTGCCTTTTGCGGGAAATCCAACTACCTTTCCGCGTGCGGAGCGGTCAGACAGGTTTGACGACACGTTCTAAGAAACGAGTCGTCCAACGTTGGAAAGAGTTCAGCATCATTGCATTCTTAGCCTGCTTCCTCCATGAAACCCGCTTAGCGATTCTTTTTTTGGCAATTCTCGAAACTCAACAGGTTTTTCTTGTTGACTCATTTGTTCATCAGTAACATATAAACACATTTTTACACATCTGAACACTTTGTCATCCTGACAAAAAAATGTCCAGGTAGACAAATTAGTTCTATTTGGTGCATTTTTTTCTTTTTCGTTGTAGAAATTTCATATCAAACTTGACATGAAAATGCCATAATGAAAAAAATAATATATGAGGAATTCATAATGAGGTCCTCTGTAATTATGGAAATGAAGATTTTATAACATTCTATAATATAATAATAATATAAACATTCCACACACACACACATCTCCCTCAGTGACTGTACTTCCACCCGGGCTCGACTGCCACACGCCTTCCTCCAGCCACTGAACATTTGCACTGTTATTGTTTATCCATTTCTTACTGTTCATATTGCACAACTATTTCCTACTGTACATATCTATTTATCTATTTATTCACTTATTACACTTTACATATGCACATACTCTGCACTTTTTGCTACTTTGCACTTCTGGTTGGATGTTAAACTGCATTTCGTTGCCTCAGTACTTGTACCCTGTGCAATGACAGTAAAGTTTAATCTAAAGAGAATACAAGATAAATCGGTGCCTCTGACTCAATAATCTCAAGAAACACAAATGCTTTAAGCTTTGAAAGCACTTTATTATTTTTTACATAATTTACAAATTGTTACAATGCAGTTTCATAACGGCATACGCTGTTCTTCTCGACATCCTCTGACATTAAATAATATTTGAGAAGATAATGGTGTGTTCCACAGATTGATAAGTGCCACACAGAATACTCTTTCAAGGTTTTGAACTTTAAACCCGACTGCTGCATTTGCTTCCCTCCCTGAGTGATCTCGGCCCAAAGGCCACCATGCAGTGTTTAAAGCGCCGCCATGCCGATGGCCGCCTCGGCGCGCTGTGGTTTTACTTTGGCCGCTGATTCATCAGCGTTTGGTAAACACGGTGTCCATAGTGTGTGAAGCCAGCCAGCTGTTGTTCAGCGTCACCCCCTCCTCCTCCTCCTCCTCCTCCTCCTCCTCCTCCTCGCTGGACCACGCCTCCTCCGCCTCCTGCGCCACCTGCGCCTCCCCCGGACGGGTCTTCCCCACTTCTCCTTCTTCCCTCCTCTGGTCGCACAGGCGGCACACCCTCAGCAGCTTGGTGGGGTGGATGTGGCTTATCACCGCTCGCTTCGTGGAGCACGCGTTGCACACCAGGAAGCCGCATTTTCGGCAGTGGTGGCGACGCTTGGTCGGGGTGAACTTGTCGAAGCAGCGCATGCACTTGTAGGCCGCCTGGTCGGGGATCCAGACGACGGCAAAGTGGGAACCGGCCGGGCCCCCGCCGCCCCGCTGCAGGTTGGAGCAGCACTCCTCGATGTGCTCCATCCAGGCCCGCTTCTCCTCGTGCGAAGGGGCCGACACGAAGAACGACTTGCGGGGCGTGCGGATCAGCCACTGGTTCCTGGCTCTATCCGTGTCCTCCATGTCCTCCAGCTTGATGCCCTCTGAAATGACAGATAGCAGATGGTCTATAGAACTGAACTCCATAGAGGTTTTGAGCTTTCAGAAGTTCTGGAGGCGAGTCATGAACGAATATAATATTGCCACACACAGCTGGAAATATCGAATGCAGATTTCGGCCCAAACGGGACAAAATCACCTGTACAAAGTTATGGAAAAACACAGACCAGAAATCATATATAATCATATCTTTCACTCTGCAATCGTAAATGCTCCTCACCTTTGAATGCATCATTCCCAGTTTTTTTGAATGCTAAAGCAAAGCGGTCTGTGTCTCTCCCAAACATTCCTTTCATTCTCAGGGTCCGGTTTCATAGTAGTAATCTTCCCACAAGTGACTTAGATCTTACCCAGACTGATGATCTTCTGCTTCTTGTGCCAGCGGCCGTTCAGGATGATGCTGCCGTACACCAGCACGTCGTTGAAGAGGAAGAAAGCCTTGGGCTGCGGCTTGCGTCGACCTTGCTTCATCAGCCGGCCTTGTCCCAACAGAACCCGGCCCGGCTTGAACAGGGACAGCCCCGCCGGGCCGAAGGACTGCTCCACTGCCTGGATGCGGCCGCGGTTCTGCTTGTCCGAAAGGTCCATCGCCGCTGTGAGCAAACGTCTGCAGTGGCACCGGGGTTGCAGATGAGGTTAACAAAGGGCGGGCGGGCGGGCGGAGCCGGAGCGGTGACGCAGTGGGACTTTCCGTAGATTCTGAAGAACCCGTTGAACAAGAAGTGTTCGCATTGTGTGAGAGAGAGAGCGTGTTGTTGTTTCAGGGGAAAGCAACTGATCACATTTACCGTTCTGACAAGGATACAAGTTTACATGGTAAACAACCACAGCTTACTATTACGCAGGAAACATGTTAAATTCAGCACTCTTATTGGAAATATGCCTCACATCTCTTTACATAGAATGGCAATTACATAATAAATCATACTGTATCGGTCTGCAGCTCTGTGGGGAAGAAGCCTCCTTGAGCGACAGGCCAACATCAACATGCCAACGGCTGCACGATAACGTACCAACACGCTGATATAAAGGAGCCCTGAAGTCTGGAGTTTATTATTTGGAAGAGCCTCCAAAAAAGTATGATTAGGAATACAAAACTCATAGACCATCAAAGAATATGCAGCGATAAAGGTCATTCCTATTTAATCAATAATTCCAGACAGTGACTCGTGTAGGAGATCTCAGATTATTATGAAATAATGAACATTTGTAGCTCATTCCCAGTTTGGGAACCAGTGTGTCAGTCTATCCAGGGTCACAGGTTAAAGAGCACACACACACACACACACACACACACACACACACACACACACGGCAGACGTTTATTTGTCTTTATTTAGTATCATCAAACTACTCTACAGGCTAACAGTGATTATAGAATCATAGACACAAGTTTTGTGTCTAAGCTTCCAAATAAATCCCCATGCACATATTACCCCTTTTTTCACTGTTTGCTTTTGTATCCACAAATGTCTGACTTTTTAAATCAGGTTAATAATGTGGACCCACTGGCCCACTTTTTGGAGGCTTGTTAGCTCATATCTCTCTTGGGGTGGAGCCGTTGTCATGTTTCCGGCTGCTAGTAGGGGACCGGCCCGTAGTAGGCGGTGTACGCGGCGATGATCCCATGCGTGTCCATCATGTCCTCACAAGCCAGGTTGGCCTCACACACTTCTGTCAGGCTGAGAGGGACAGAGAGAGGCGGTTATTCACGCGGCTACGGGATGACGCGCTGCATTGAAACGCACCATGTACATGCCGCTGCTTCCTACCTCTCCAGCTGCGTCAGGGACAACTGTCCAGCAGCCCTCCTCTGCCTCGCCACAGCCGAGGCCTGCTGCCTCTCCACAAACAAACCTGCACATGTGCCTTCATGTTTGTAATTGTATAGATACTCAAGACGTCAACCGATCGATACGAATCGAACGCGAATGTGGAGATTCGACATATAACAAATGAACAGTTTATTATTTAAGCAATTTGTCTCCAAATCTCAGAGGTTTTATTGCCAAACTGTGGGAAACATGTGGTTTAGTCATTGAGGCGAAATGAATCAAATACATTACATATTAATGCAACTTGGATCATAAAGTCAAAGCATGATGTTACCCTCCTGAGCGGGGCTGTCTGGCTGGGAGGCGGTGGCGGCATCTGTCAGATAAAGGGGGAGGGGGGGGGATGTGAATAATACTTACATTTTATTTTGTTGCACCATTTTCGATCCAAGAAGAGTCTCATTCCTTTCAAACCAAACCTCTCTTTTCTTAAGCCAACACGAAATCAATCAGCCGGCAAAGACTTTTAGTATCAGTAGTTCTTTGTCTGTGTTTGCAGAGCGACATACTCCAAATAAAGTCACAGAATATGATAAAGAGCTTTGTTTTATCACATACGGTTGTGCAGCTCTTACCGGAAGTCAGACAGATGACGGCCAGCGAGCAGAGAAGCAGGACGGCCAAAGTCTTCATCTCAGCTTCTTCTTTCTTCAGCGTCAGCAGTATCAGGCAGCAAGTGGACTTCAACAGCCTCCTTCTGGTCCTTCCTCTCACGCATATATGCATTTATACACCCTGGATTCGTGTGACCAATCGCGTGATTGGTTAGGGCATCATATAACACACACCCACGTGGGTGCACAGATACACACCTCCACAAAAAACGATGGATGAAAAACAATTGAAAAAGTTTTTGCCAAAATAAAGTAAACAGATCAAGAAATAAAGGCCTGGTCCCAATAGGAAGGTCTTTTTTAAGCCACGGTGATGAGAAAGCAGATGTGGAGGCGACTGTAAAATGTCAAATACGAGCCACTGGATCTGTCGATCAATGAAAAATATTTGACTGAATGAGAAAGGCTCAAACGCTATAAAAAGAGTAAATGCAGTCAAATAGCATCCCTGGACTCTCCCCTACAGTAATAAATCATTTGATGAAACGTTGGGGATGCAATGCAAGTGTGCGGGCTGGAGAGGTCCCAGCTTTACACCACACACACACACACACATACTTTGACATGCAGTCCATGTAGCAGAGAAAACCATAGCACACAAACTGAAGTGGGGTAAAACCGCCGTGCCACATGGGACATGATTTGAATCCGAGGGCTTTGTGGAGGGGTAATTTGTCCAAACAGAAGAGGAAGGTTTGCCCGTAAAGCGGTGGAAAAAGCCTAAAAGCCACATTAATTAACACTCAACCTATAGAAGACTTCTTTAGTAATATTTGACCACTTAAATAGAGGCACAAACATCTTGTTTTTCTCTATCTTATTTTCTAACTGGAAAGTGAACATTTATGCTGAAGGCCGCATCCGCTGCCACAGAAACATCCTAAAGAACGACGTGAATCCATCATTGGTTCCTGCTCTGCGTGCCCTGTTGCTTTTTCTGACTGAATATTGTGGATTGGTATTCTAGGGGGTGTAATTTGCCTGTCTGGGTCCGTGCTGGTGCCGCGGCGGAGAAAGATTGAACCTCGTAACAACTTGACTTGTGCTGATCGAAGCCATTTGGCAACATGAGCAAAAACAACATCCCGCGCGTCTCTTTGGAGGCCACGCCGCCTGCCGCGTGGCTGTCTGCAGCAGCGCCGGGGATGCTGCTGCATTCCTCATGAGATTACAAGAAACCACACGTATTTAAACAGCAGGGCATGTCGGTTTAAAGATGAAATGTAAAGTACATTTCTTATTATATGTGAGAGTGGATTTGAACGTTACATTTCTTAGACAGTCGGCGCACCGTCACCTAACGCAGTGATGAACGTAGTTCTTCGCTATCGGCATACGCGGTGATGTGCAGGTTTTGTAACATCTGTGCTGAAGCTAAAGTAGAAGCAAGGTAAAAAAAAAACATTGAAATGACTCAAGGTGAATCTGGAAAAAAGTAAAATTCTTCCACTAACGAACAACAACAACTCAATTTAAGTGGCAGATGAAATATCTGGTAATAGTTATAGATGCGATTCATCTTGTGGTTCTTTGATTGTGATTTTGTCCTCTGCTGCATACAAACCCTCTGAAAGAAGAAAGCTGCAGTGATTTTATTTACAAATGAAACTCCAAAACTCCAAAAGAGGACGGACATTCCCATTTTATCAAATTATGATATGATGTCCACAAAAATGTTGGAATGAATATGGGAACCCAGAACACCTCTAACACTAAATTAACTTGTACCCACGACTCCAAATAACAAAAATCTGGGAACTTGGCGTGATGGAGGAATCCAGCACTTCGAAAAACAAATCTTGAAAAACAAATCTTTAAAATAACTGAAATGGTCCAGTAAAAACTGTCGTTAGTAGAGTGTAAAATGATGTTAAATCTTTGTATAGTTCAAAATGACCCTTGAGTCATGATCTAAACGGAGGAGATGATTTTACACTTGGTTTTATGATGACATTTTTATGATTTTATAATTTATTACTTTTTTTTCTTGTTTCTTTTTTTTGTGTGTTTGTATCCTTATGGTTGAAATGCGCTTATTGTAAGTCGCTTTGATAAAAGCGTCAGCTAATGACATGTAATGTGATGATGATTTGTTTACTTGAGCATGGGCCTACTTCACAAGTACATATTGTACACATTTTTTCCACAAAGTAAAGTTACTTCTTTCTCGCCTCAACCTTTTGTGAGATTCGAGTTTTTCAAATTTTTTACGGGCAACCGCAATTCTGAGTTTGTCCAATAATGAATGAAAGTCAATAATTTATACAGATTTCCAGGCCCATTAATAATATTGTGAGCCGTTGGACTAAACTAAACAATAATCTATTTATTTCATACAACCCTGTTTTTTTGAAGGAGTGAATGGGATTCAGTGGCAGCTAGTGGTGTCGCCTCTACATGTTAATATCCGTAAACATGTAAGGAACATACATTGGCTTGACTTGCTGACCAATTTGCTGCTTCATCTTGAGCAGCCACACATATTAGACGAGTACCGGCCACTCTCTGCAAACACTGCACGTTCTGACACACCCAGGCGACAAAGAAATAAACAGAATTAAGATAAACCCCAATGAAGGGGAGTTTGTTTATTTATTCAAAGCGGGATAAAGAGGTGGATAACGTGAGGAACGGTTAGTAAACACAAAAAACAAATGCCGTGACGTTGGGATATTAGTGGATGATGGTCATCCTGAGATGACACGAGAGAGAGCGCTGGCCCGTGTGGTTCTACACGCCACACTGGTTTACAACATCTGTCTCACGTCTAGGATCCATTTCACATCCACAAGAGGCCACAAAAACAACCACACAAATTATAGAGAAGTTGTGATGTGGTGGGAGACGGACGGCGACTCTGCTTTGCACAGACGGACGCTTTGCGTCTAGTACCGACGGGTCACGGCCGGCCTCTGGGGGGGATTGCGGGCGCCGAAGTACCTCTGGAAGGCCTGCTGGAAGCCGTGGCGGTAGGCGTAGAAGCGGCAGGGGGAGTAGTCCTCACAGGTCTCCGCGCGCCTCTCCGCCGGGGACTTCACCTTCCTGGACAAGGTGGAGCAGAGGACAGAGATAGCGAAGGACAGTGAAGGAAGAGGATTGCGTCTTTAGTCACGGCCTCTTTGTGTGAGGTGCTGCGTGTGCATGTCTGCGCTCGTGTCGTCCCCCTCATGAAGTTGTAATAGCTGTGGCCGTTGCCCCTGGCCGGCACGTACACGCTCCCCATCTGAGGCGCCATGAACGAGTTGGCTTGGTTTGGAGCCACGAACAGATCTGCGAGCACAACACGTTACTGGACACAGGCGGAGGTTTGCATTTGTTCTGAGGTCGGGGGGGGGGGTTGTTAGCGAGGGTTAAACACATTACACTGTTTGACAGGCGGCGCCTCGTTAGTTCAGAGGGGGCATGCATGTTTTTCCATGAACGAGAGACAACGTTTAATCACCTTCGACGGATTCTGTGCTTTCATGAGAGTCTACGGGAAAAACATGGAGTCGGGTTAATCATATACGGTGATGAAGGGGACGTTTCATTGGTGTGAATACACAGTGGCTGCTGAGTGACGGATGTCGGTGAGGAGCTGTACCGTAGCAGACGCAGAAGGAGGCGGCGGCACAGAGTGCCAGAAGCTGAAGAAGGCTCCTCATCGCGGGGGGGGGGGGCTCGTGTCTCTGCTCGGGGGGGCTGCTGGACAAAGAGGGGAAAGGGGTTTCAGTGACCGGGCATGTGGGAGGGGGCGGTTCCAGATCCGGGGCTGGGGTCTCGTGCATAAACCTGCACACATGTGTCTATGCAGCAGACGAACCACTCACTGAACTCCAGTCAGGTTCTATGAAGGCAGGTATTCACACACACACACACGCACATCTGCCCTCAGTCCCGTACACACAGTTGCCAAAGGGAGGTGTTTGACACCTGAACAAACGGTAATGCCAGATGTGATTAACGGCCCAACACATGCACACGCACACATACACACACTCTCTGTATTTGCATGCCTGCAGTGCAGAAAAGCTTTCATCCCCATCTTCTGTTTGTGGGATTTGGACTCGATGCTGTTTCAGCAGCCCTTCTTTTTCCACATCAATAGCAGCTTTCATTAAACACACACACACACACACACTCAGCACTCATAACATCACACCCTCAAGCATATATTGGCTTGAAGACGTACCCGGACTCAGTGGGCACAGAAACAGAGGGTTTCATATTCACAAAGATTGGCACAGACATCTAGACGTGTGTGTGTGTGTGTGTGTGTGCGTGTGTGTGTGCGTCAGGTGCTGACGCTGTCAAAGCTGAGAGTTTTATGTCGGTATTCGCAGGCCTCCTGGGGGTCATTTTCCCCACAGAATGTGCCCACCTCCCTGTAAAAAGCCACAGGCATGTCGCTGGGCCAAACAGAACCGAGCTCCTCACAGATACAGCAGAGCACTGTGGGCACGTTGCACTTAGAGGATTACAAGTTGCAGCAACATACTTACATAACATTAAAAAATGCATCTAATGAGAGCTAATAGATGAAATAAGCAGTTTTGCAAGTTTGACTTTTGAAGAAGACGTGAACGACCTCTACTTTTCCTCATGCCATTCAGATTATTTGTTTGAATGTACTTACCGACAAAGATAAGAATGCAGTCTTGGAAATATCTCTCAGTGTCTGTACTTTTTCTCCGGAGTAATATCCCCCCAAATCCTGACAGTGCGTCTTTTATACTCACCTCTCTCCCCCCACCCCTCCATCTCTACCCACCACCACCTCCCCCCTTAGCCCTCGCCCTCTTTCTCTCTCCTCCCTTCTCACACTATCAGCCCTCTTTTCCATGGTTTAATCACCCCGGGGTATTAGCTCACTCTCTCCCACGCCTTCACCGCAAAATACAGGGGGCGGGAGGTGGGGTGGTGGGGGGGAGTGAGTAGGGGGGTAAACAGAGAAGGCCATGGGGCATCTAACCTGCTTCGTAGCAGGTACGTGGTGATATTCGCTGCTGTTTGCCGGCTTGGCAGCATGAGATGAGAAGCCCGTCCATGCAGACGCAACATGGGCTCCATCCATCATCAAGGGTTGAACAATTCCGTTTGTGCCCAAATGTGCCCAAAACAACGTGTATTAACCCTTTGTTGGCCTACGTACGTTGAACCCACGCGGCGTGAATCACATTTAGCTGAGGCGGAACATCTGGGAGGAGCTGTGTGAAAGCGGACCCTCACCAAACGCAAACAAACCAGAATAGGAGGACGAGCTATACTGGGAATCAGGTGGAACCCAGACAGACGGATAAACATTAACATTAATAGATAAGGGAGCGATTGAGGGAGAAAGCTGCTGCAGCAGTGGTTTGTTTTTAGCGCTGCAGGCCGCAGACGTTGGGTCTGATGAGGCCGGAACCAATGAGTGGCGGCTCGGCCCTCCGGCGCAGATATTAAATATCCATCACAAAGCAGAAGGAGGAAGATGAATGCAGCTGGGTGGGGGTGGGGGGGGGCTGTTCTCAACTTTTCCAAAGGCTTCAGTTAAGTACTTTAAAATCGTTCCTCAAGTCAGAGACAGACGAGAGAAGAAGATGGAGTGGGTGATTGCATGGAAGAAAACAGTCAAGAGGGGTTTTGTTTTCGCTTGTTTATGGCCTCTCTAAGGCCGTGTTTCTGCTGTCGCCTTCTCTCACTTCCTCTCGTGCAGTCAGTATGCTGCGCAGGCCAGACGCGCTCTCAGCCCTCCCTCGTCTACGGCAGCCAGCAACACAACCAGCATCTGAGAAAGGCTATCAAAACATTAGACGCACATAATCTTGGTTTATTAGTGTTATTAGTGAGCCAGAGGGCGAGATAAAGGATGAATGAGAAACAGAGGACGAAGAAGAAGAAGAAGAAAAAAGCCAGGATGGGGCACGGCAAAGGGAGCGTGATGGTTTGTGAGTGACGGGGAGCGTCCGAGCGGTTCATCTGGAGGTGATAGAAGGCCAGTTGAAGCGAGGCAGACGCAGAGTGACCTCGCAGGCGGGTAACGACCGGAGAAGAATTAGCCTTTGGCAGGAGAATCAATGCAGAAGGGGAAGCAAGTGAAAAGTGCTGAATTGGGTAATGGGGTAATGACTGTGCTCATAACGTCTGCAAAAACACACAACCGAACCTGTCTGGGCCGGCTCGTATTTCCCCCCGTGGTGGAGCAGGTGCACCATGTGGCTGCTTTTTGGCTGTTGCTCCGAACACACAGAAACACAACACAACTCCCAGGACAAAATTCAGCCCTAGACTGGCAGGTATTTTTCTTGCTATTTTTACGTCTTAATGTTTCTTTAATGGTCCTTGCTGTGATTCACTTGTTAAAAATTCACTTGGAGGAGGAGTGAGTGACTCAGATAGAAAACATCATGTGAAGGAAGCCGCGTCTGTGGGATGAAGGACAGACATTACTCAGGACTGTCCTCCTCCTCCTCCTCCTCCTCCTCCTCATCTCTGATGGCCCTGAAGTCCTGCGGCTGTGAATTTTGCCATGTGAATGTCAACATGTCAGCGTGGAGATTTATGTGCGTTGCGTAACGCCGGCATTCTGAAGCCCAGACAGATCTGTATCTGTGTGTTTACTTGTTTGTTATTTTGAACAGATGAACAGTGATCTGTTCAAGGGAATGATTTTTTTATTTTTTTCCCTTTTTGCATTTCCCGGCCTCGTCATCACTTACTGACAAAATGCACGGCCCGTGTGGGCGTGAGCTGAATGAGGACTTTGTGCCACTTGTTTTCTAAGGCTCAACCTCTCCTGTGCATCAACACCTCACCAGGCCTCCGTGCCCATGTATGTGCTGAAGGAACACGGAGGACGAAAAGGCAAAACATTAGCATTTTGTCATTGGATGCGCTGCAGCTTGAGTGGAAACATTTGTAAAAAGAGCATTAAAAAGTATGCTTTATGCTGCATAGGATAGCATAGTGTTGCATGGTGCTTCCTCCATTTTTCTTCGAGAAAAGCTGATTAGGTTTCATGGAGCTGTTTGACGTTTCATTAGATACGTTTCGGTGCTTTCTTGCCTGTGGAGAAGGTCAACACCACTCTCATGTGCTGTGAATACTAAGCTGGAGCCAGCAGCTGGTTACGGGACTGTACACACATCCTTTGAAGTGAGGAGGGCTCCTGAATCGTTTTTTTATAAAAAATGCTGCAATAAATCAAATGACTCATCCGTTTTATAGAGTCCCACATTACTTACCGCGCTGACGGGCCACTTTCTGTGATCTCTCCCTGTGGTAGTGAGGCTCATAACCCACACTGGGATTCCTCTGTGGGCCAACCAGGAAGTTAATGGTAAAAAAAAAAAAAGTCAATGGGATTTTTCCATTTTGTGGAAAACATGACAGATGAATATATTCGTGATACTTTCATGCTTTTTGTTTAAAAAGTCTAAAATGATTTGAATTTGTTTTCAACGCGTCAATGATGGGGGTCAATTTGGAAGAGCAAGTGTGTGTGTGTGTGTGTGTGTGTGTGTGTGTGTGTGTGTGTGTGTTCCTTTGTGTTGAATCTGCCTCCTCTTTTTTCATTTTATGTGCCATTTACTCTGTGATGCCAACTCCAACAAACAGACCTGCAGGGGTTTGGACCCACCTACTGCCGTCAGGAATCTCACACACACACTCACACACGTGCACACACACGTGCACACACACAGACACACACACACACTGCATCAGATAGCATTCACAAACAAACCGTACAGACAAGTGATCCCAGACAGACTCAGTTTATGAAAATCAGGTCGTGTAGTTTTATGAAAGCACAGCAGATTGCTGGGAGCGATGGGGGTGGTGGTAGGGGGGGTGAGGGGGGGGGGGGACCCACAACGATTGTTATGCACGACCACAAACACACTAACTGCAGCCGTCTGTTCATCTTTAAATAAGAAGCAACTCTATACTTTCTCTATTTTCCTTTCTTTACTGCCCTTTTACCAAAGTCTCTCATTCCTTCTCCCCTCCGTCTGTCTTATCATCTATACTGCTCTCCATTGTTGCTCTGCATCCCTTCCTCTTGGCTCTGTATACCGGTTAATTATACGAAGCAGTCTTGGGATTTTGGGGGATTCTAAACATAAACGTGGGACTTGGAGCTGACCGAGCTGAACGGATCCAAGCTCTTTTTAAACCGTCACACCAGCATTTTCAAACTGAATGGATAATTCATATCAAGTTCAACTTGGGTGAAGACTTTCTGCCGGGGGGGGGTGAACGTAGCTGAACGTGAGCCATGTGGCTCGGTGCTTTTACTTATCCTCCTCTGTCGGAGTATGAAGAGCCCCACAGAGGAGCAATGGTTCACAGATGGTGAACACTCGTTGATTCGGTTTTGCGCCCCAAACATCAGTCACTAGACCACCAGAACTCGACTTTCTAATTTGACCAAGCTCTCCCACTGCCGTACTTAAAAGACTGCTACAGCATGTCCCAGATCATTTGTAATGTCCCTCTTTTCCTTCAGATTGCCAATAGGAAAAGTCCAGCTTGTCCCCGACTCGCCCAACCTCCCCTTTGGCTTCTCTCTCACTCACATTACACGTCGTTTAGCTGACGCTTTTATCCAAAGCGACTTACAATAAGTGCATTTTTCAGGGCAGCACGGATTGAAAACCTAGAGGAGCTGTGTCTCCGAACGAGCAGGGCAGGACATGAGTTATCTAACGCTATAATCTGTGCTGAGTAGCCGTTTCCAGAGACAGTTTGATCAAGTTCAAACTCTTGGTTTCTATAGTTCTCATTTTTGGGACACATGAACTTGAGCTAAACCTTTATGTTGGTTTAATTTAAGCTCTAATCCTAATCCTAAATAATAATTTCACTTCAAGATATAGTTTTGTGCAAGGAGGAGGGAAACACATGTGTGTTCTCTTATCTCTGCAGGTGTCCCTAAAGGTCAACACGGTGACCTTATCACAGCACACTGCTTAATATTAGCATTTAGCTCAGCCTCACAAAACCTCATAGTCTCTCTGTATTGTGGAGGTCAAAGCAGAGGGCAAAGTTTTGTTGCCGAGTTCGTTTGATAAAAGTGTGTCTGCCTCACTGTGGCTGAAGATAGACGCTATATCAAACTATTTACCCGTTGTATAAATCATCAATGAGAGGCGTGCGCAGCGGCACGAGACACGTCACGGGACGCACCCAAAGCATATAAACGAGCTCAGGACCGCGTGGCCTCCAGCAGACGGGCCTCCGTCCTCCCCAATGTGCATGGAGTGTGTGTCTGTGTGTGTGATGCTGAGGATGTTAACTATTGAGACACTCTTACCTTCTCTAGTGCGATGTGTGTGCAATATGACACAGCAGCATATATGTATGCGTGTGTGTTTCTCATATGTACGTGCACGTGTTCCAGATGAGTATGTGTAATGTTTTATATATGCGTGTGCATAGGTTTACAGAGTATGTATGTATGTAAGTGTCTCAGTAGTCCTGTACGGCCCCTCCGTGGTGATCTGCTACCTGGGCTGCAACGCCGCTCTGACCAGTGAGACTATTCTGCCCCCTGCAGGTGAAACAGAGTCATTACAAGTTAGGAAAACCCTGTTGTTGACATCATCAACCGTAGTCTGCACAGTCGAAGACAAAGAGAGACGTCCAAATTCTTGAAGACTACTCCTTTTTTTACGTTTTATCTGTGGGCTTCTGTGTGTCTCTCTCTCTCTCATGCTTGTGGTCTAGGAGCTGTTGCCAATACTGTAATTCTTCACTTAAAGCTTCATTTCCCGTCTCCCCCCCCTCTCGCCTCTCGTCTCGCCAAAGCAAACAAAATACCAAACATCAGCACATGAGCAGTCTCCTTATTTCGACACGTTTCGGCCCCTGTTCATTTTAAAATGAGTCTTAAGTGTACTTCAGTTCTCACCATTAGCTCCACGAGAGCATCTCCCTCCCCGCGGGTCCTCTTTCCTTCCATGTGTCTGCACTTACACACCACGAAGCTCAGTGAGAGCCTCGCTGCTCTCCTGCCTCTCTGGAGCTCTGCTGACGCCTCGCTGACTGCCGGAGAGCCGCCAGACTCGTAATGAGAGGCCTGTCAGCGGGAGCGTCCAGCCAGTGGGGGGTGCCCTTCCTTCATCTCCTTTCCTCCCTCCTCTCCTTTCCTCCCTCCTCTTTCCTCCAGCACCTGAACATTTCCCCCCTCGGCCCGTGCTGGGACTCGCTCCAGCTTCTTCTGCCTGGCTTTGGTCCATTGGAGGACCTCCTTCTCTTCCCCCGTTCACTGTGGTGTAGAGGGCAACAACACCCAACCGGAGTTGTGTCTCTCACGCTGGGTGTAAACGGCTCGGGCTCATCGGTGCGTCTGCTGAGGTCACAGCGTTTGTTCTGCGTCGGCTCTGCAAGGCTCGCCGTGGGGTCTTTGTTGTGATCCAGCAGCCTCTCACACCCTCGCGTGGGATCTACAACGCGTCTTCCTCCTCCTCCCGGATTTTAATGACCGCCTGAATTGCATTGTTACAGCCTCTGTTAAGTATTAACGAGTGCTTTACTACACTGGGGGCTGGAAACGGGACGCCTTGCTAGCCAAGGAAGTATCCTGCCACACACACACACACACACACACACGACTGTATCATGAAGCGGAGCAGATTGGGAATAGATGAGCTGCGACCACATAAAGGTGTAAACAAGCATCAATCCTGGTCATTAGCAGTAACTCGACTCATGCGGCAAAACAGGTGCTGGGAACCAGCCAAATGTGTGCGTGCGCTGTTGTGTGTAGCGAAAGTGTGTATATACATGTGGCGGTGGTGGGAAATACAATTAAAAAGAGCTTTTCCTTTTCGCGTAGCGTCGAAATGCAGAGATGAAAGCAGCATTTGTGCACCAGGGGAAAGGGGACGGGAGCAGAGATGCTCTCGTCTCGATGCGTGACAGCGCAGAGAGCAACATCACACCACATGCACTCAGAGGGCCAATTTCCCCCCGCTGGTGTGCGAAACCCGAGAGGAGCTCTTGTCGCCCTGAATAACCCTTTGCTTCCTTTATTTGTCCCAAACACAACCTGCTTTTGGCTTTCACCAAGTCACACAAGATTCAAAAAAACATCCTGTATCCGCGCTTAACGCCAACACACACACACACACTCACACACACACACACGGAGAGGAACGCTTCAAACAGGAAGAACACCACTTTCTCCCCTGCAATCATGCACTTGACACACACGAGTGTGTGTTACACGTGTGTGCGCATGCGCGCTTGCGTGTATTCCTGTTTCTGGGTTGCCTCGGCTTCTATTAATTGCTGTTGATGCCGTTTCCACTGCTTCCAAGCCCCTGCGAGCGTCATCCAGCTCCTGCGGCCCGTCCTGTGTCACCACGACGTCATTCCCTCTGATTTGGGGATATCCAATTAGCCGCTCCCTCGACGGTGCGATCTAATAAGTGGGCTCCCTTAATGCCGACGGAAGCCTTAAAGCCCGGATTACAGCTTCCCTGGCCTCTCTAACCTTCCCTCCGCCGCTCTGCCACCACTCCGGGCCGTTTGCTCCACGACTACCGCAACGCCGACATCCCAAAGTGTTTCAAACAAAACACTTCCCTCTTCAGGTCAGGCGTATTCTCAGTGGTTACCGCCATCAATTTGAGGCCCTCTTGAGTCTGAATGCTCACTGCAGTCCGCCGAGCCCCCAGCCAGGGATCATTTGTTATAGATCCATCCGTGAATAGTTAAACTGAGACTTTCCTATGCAACTTTAAATAAATATTACATTGGAGAACGTTGGAAGCGGGAATAAAAAGAAATATATATTTATCCACATGCACTATTTATTTAACATAACAACCACGGTCCGGCCTGCACCCGGCGCACAACGTGTCTCTTTGTTTAGTGCGTGTGATTGTGTTCAATTCAAGCCGATGTGATTCTTTCCTCTCCCCGAGATCAAAAGCAATCATCACGCCGGACGCCGCATCACTTTGGCCCATGCACACGGAAAACCTTTACATCTTCTTGGCAAACAGTCATTGTGAATCGCTTTGTGGTGCAACGTCTGGTAAACATTGGAACACCTGCGAGGTGCAAATTTTTCCAACAAGAAATTCTCGGTACGTCCTTGCTTTCGTTTATGATTTATATAACACCGGAGCCAGCAAACACTATTTAGCATTTACAGTGCAACATGAATCTCAATGTTCATTCTCCGCTTGTACATTGTGACTACAGCGGCTGCTGGGGAGCGAAACTGCCCACTGTTTTCATTCCTGCGTCGAATGAAGCGCGGCGTATTAATAATTGCACACCCACATACGTGCTGCCGCACATGAAGCTCACGGCTCGCCCAGTCTGTGAGGCGAGAAATAACAGGATCGTATGGCAGAGAGGCCCTTGGTGTGACGCTTCAGCGTAATCACAGCGATTTCTGAAGTCTTGCAGATAAAATGGGGGAAGAAGCTTATTTAACATGACACAACATCACAGAAACACTTGTTCTCCCCCCGAGACAAGTGACTTCATGAATGTCTTCTAAATGGTTTGAACCTGACTGATATTTGTGGTACCGCGGACGGACGTGCTGACAGAAATGACCTAAGAAAAGGGGTAAAATTCTTAGCGGAGCTCTTTGAAGGAGGTGGACGGAACTTTTTGGCGAAAAATGTTTTGAGAAAAGGCCTCATTACGACAATCGGTATAAGACCGTGAAATGAGATTCAGGTCAATCTGCCTTTCAGAGAATTCTTCCCAGTGCCCAATTAGTTCTGCGCGCTGGCTTCACGCAGGTCTCACAAAAGGATAACTCGTCCATTTCTCAGCACAGTAACAATGTGTCGTTATTCAAGTCAAACTGATAGAAAAAGGCACAAGTCACAGAGAGCAACTTGCTGTCCGTTAGTCGACATGCTGACAAATCACAAGGAACACTAGTTTAGGATAAAACTTCCCTTCAAAGCCTAAAGAAGCTGCCCGTAAGGAAATGTAAATGCACGACATGTTCACACCAATGAGAAAAATCATTAGTTGTATTTGAAGGGAATTTCTTTAAGCCTGCCATGGTTTCAATGGGACGTGAGTGAGATGCCAGCGAGTTCTGGCTGAGATGGAAAGAAAATGATTTATGTAGAATAGAAAGCATGTGTTGTCAAGGCCGAATTTCTAACATCAACGCAACAGAAGAAGCAATGATTTCTTTATAAATAATGTATGTAGCCCGTCTGAAAGCAGCTACAAAGCAGCGTTATTAAGGGGTGTCAAATATGTGGCAGATGAAAAAACAACTAAGCACACAACACTGGAAAATAAAATGGAATAAAAAGATGATCGTTCCAACGAGGCCATAGCTAACAAAAGAAAAGTAACTTCACCAACATGGTCGATCGAACGGAGTGGGAAACCTTTTAAGAGGAGTTTTTTCAGAGAGATTGCAAGAGATTGCAAACAGGACTCCATCAACCCCGAGGCTAATCAAGCCTTTTCTTTTGGTCAGATCTGCTACTGGAAAACAGTGTTTACGGAGTCTGGAGGATCAGATTCTCAGATAAAGCATCACACAGTAAACCAGAGCCGGGCTGCCGGAGGAGGTGGGCTCTCGTGTCACATAGTTAAAAGTCTCGCCGCAGTACTTTCGATTTACTGGAGTCCAGAGGTGACTCGCGTGAGACAGGCGCTCCCTATGATGGATCAGCCCACACTCAATCCAATAAAATCCTTTTGGGGTGAAAATAAAAAAGCACATACACAAGAGCATCTGTGCTACATGTAACTGTTTAAAAGGAAGCTTGGGGTCATTCACACAATAATTACCAACCAGCTGTACGTCTGCTCATGCTGCTACAGGAGGTAGGACTATATAGAAATACATATACACACATATACATGTACACACATGATGTTTAACATACACATCTGTTGCACATCGCTTTGTACTCAACGAGCCCTGCAACTGAACGGCAGCACTGGAACCATCTATCTCCCCGCTCACCAGACGGTCTGAGCTCTTTTAAACGTTTAAACGAACATTTGAAGCCTCACCCCACGAAGTCTTTAGAAAAAACGGCAGTGAATCGTCCCTCCAACATGAATCTAATTTCAACACCGAAGAATACTGAAGATATAGCGTGTATTTCCCCTGTAGCGGGTGCAGAGCGGATGGAGGCACAATGAAGGGTCGACTGGAGGCCGGGTGAGTTTGAATGTGTCTGTCTCCTCCGTGACACCTTAAATTCTGTCTCTCAACACGAGACGACTTCAAACGGTTTGCGCAAACGGCGGCGTTTTCCTATTTTTGGGGAGAAATCTACACAGCGACTGTAAATGTGAGTTCAAAGTGACACCAGAGACGGCGGATCAGCGCAGATATCAAAATAAAAAGTGCATTCCCGAGCCGAGGATAGCAGCTGTGGGTGTCTTTGAGCGGGAAGCAGGCCAACCTCCATACATCCCACACAGGCAGGCTCCTGTAAGCCTGCACCCTGTACGCCGGTACTCAGGCCACAGGGCTTCGACCCGTATGCTTTCCTTTGGAAACACACACACAGGCTGGAATTCATGAGCTTCAAGAAAGAACAGATTTATTTGTTAAAATCGCACTTCGCTGGTGTTTGACATGCAGTAAAATGTAGACAATGATGCTTAACACACCCAAGCACATAATGACGCACCGCCTGCGTCACATCGTTCTTCAACAGTAAGTCCCTTCGTTAATCCAATTAGTGGCCGAGGTATTAGCTCAATCCAGCTGAAATAAGACGAAAGGGCTGCAAGGCTGATTTATGACCTGCAGTCTGGAGGTGTCAACAACTCACCGTGTACTAAGTCCATGTAAGTCCAGTTCATTGTTTTTACTGAGGAACTCAGTTTCCTGCAAACAACCCTAGTTTGGCAGCACCGCCGTCACGTTGATGGAGCATGGAGCGTGGTGAACTCGCCCCAACCTCCAGACATATATATATATATATATATATATAAAGGTCTGCGTGGTTAAAGAGGACAGCTACTCGCTATCCGCAGCCACAAACCCCACCGTTAAACAGGCTTAGCCTTTGCACCGCGCTGCCTTAGGGCCATGGTGGCGTCAAGACCTCAGCGGATTAATGCGGAGCATTAGCCAATCCCAGACCAGCACACCAATTTCACTATATATTGAAAACGACTCGCTTGCCTCATTCTTCTAAAAGCCATTTTGTAGCCCTTGCTTCCATTTTCACTGGAGTTAATTAATGTCAACGCTACAGACAGAATATATTAAATATGTTGTTGTAATTATGAGCAATTTGCTATCATCCTTCTGATTCCCCCTGATTCTGATTAATTCTGATTCATCTTTTGTCTGAGATTTATCAAGATAGAATTAGTACATATAGGAAATCGAGAATTAAAGAACGGCACGAGGAACTTTCCCCGTGTCTGTGTGGTTACGTTTTGCCGGTCTGTGACCTTCCCTTGGGTTCCAATGAATGGATTGTTGGGTCATTTTAAAAACAGAAATGTCTGCTGAAATACCTTCCCCTTCTTGTTCTCCCGGTAAATCAACAATCTCCACGTGTGAATCAGGAGCAGAGAACTTGGATTCACTACAGAATATATATTAGAATACGCTCTTAAATGTTGAATCCTTGTGGTTTTGGAAGTGATAGGAAGTAAAAAATACCGGTCTATAAAGAGCTCATGCACACATATAACACCACTTTACCATGAAGAGATGTTAGGCAGTTTGCCACTTCGGCTCACAGTCAAAATCAAATCAATGCAAAGCTCCGTCCAAACACATTTTGAGAAATGCAAATCTCCTCCAACACGCCGACATGCAACTGTTATCACAGAGCGAAGATTCATCTGTATTTTACAAACAGAACATATCTGAATACAGAGTTTGTCTTGTGTTTACTGGGGGCTCCGCAGGTGAACGCAGCACCTCACATGGACCTCAGAACACAGCTCAGGCGTGCTGGGCTTTAGAGGGATTAAGCCCCATCAAATCCTTCCAGAAGGGTCTTTGACGTCGTCTACCCATCAGGAGGGAGGGACGCCTGATGGGAACGAGGACAAACGCAGCCAGGAAAAGGGGCGGGGAGGAGCACGCTGACTTCGGCGGAGACGTTTGACCCTTGGCGGGGCCCATGTGACTGGAAAGAGGAGGAGGACTGGATTAGAAATGCATATATAAAAGCGCTGCGCGGTAAACGCGCTTCACAAACTTGGGAAGCACATAAGAAGCAATCTGAGCGGAGATCGGCGGTGGCCTCTCGGGTTATCTGTGACGACAGGTGAGACTTTTACCCATGACCCTTTTTAAACTTTAACTCAAACCGCTATCATAATGTTGCCATGGTAATAATGACTACTTAAAACTGGTACGTTTTTGGCATTAAACTCAAAGACGATGGAAGAATTCAGATGAGGACAGTTAAGAGTTTGGCTGTTTGGAGGTTTTTGATGCAGAAGAATGCATTTCCAGCTGAAGTGCTTGTAGTTAGTTAGTAGAGAAGGAGGACTCCTGAAAGGCTTTAGGAGAAAGTTGAAGGAGCAGACAGGTGTGTGTCTCCTCTACCGCCCGGTGTAAAGAGGATTGACTTTAGGTGCAACAGCCACAGCAGCAGATGGCAGATAAGGCGTTGGGCAGCGGCTCGGCAGATCTGTGCACGTGAGAGCAGGAAGCAGATGTCTGCTCAGGGACACTTTGTGAGCCGCACTACGGCCACCTGTTTAGGTGACGTAACTCAGTCAAACCGCCTCACCGGGATTACCAATGTCAGAGGAGGGAGGCCGAAAAGAGGAGCTCAGAGAGGATACTGCTTAAGGATGGAGAGGAGAACAGGAAACTACTTTGCGACAGCCCCACTCGAGAGAATGAATGAAATCCAACGATGATGTCGCTGGAATAGTTTGTAATTCAGCGATCAGTATCCTTAATTATCAGACACACCGGCAGCAGAATTTGTGTCAACACTGGAGAGCTGATGAAAGAGTCAGAAGTCCCGCTGCACATCCCCGTTGTCCAAGAAGGGCAATTAGTCTGCTGCGGATCAGAGTGGGATTAGAGCTAAACTGGTTGTTTAAACTAATCTGCATGATCTTTTCTGGCAGTGAGGGCTGGCAGGAAACAGGATTAAGAGAGAGGCAGTGGAGGGAGGGAGAGGCAGGCGGAGGGAGGGAGGGAGGGGCAGGCGGAGGGGCGCAGGGGGGAAAAAAAGAGGACAGGCCCGGAGGAAGGAGTCAACCTGTGATCTGATCCCTGATTTCACTCTTCTTCAAACGCGTCGTCTTTCTTTTAGAGACCCTCAGCAAAAATGAACGCCGCCCCCCCTGCAGGAAGCGCCCTGGGCCCCACTGCAACGATCGCCCCCACCACACCCAAGAAGGGACCACCCAAATTCAAGCAGAGGCAGGCCCGTACATTCAAGAGCAAAGCCCCAAAGCCGGGCCAGAAAGGGTGAGAACCCCCCCCCCACCATTTTACACATTTGTAATTAATGCAAACAATCGAATCCGGCCATTCACCTATTTGCTTTCTCTCCTGCAGCTTTGGCGACGACATCCCCGGCATGGAGGGCCTCGGCACAGACATCACAGTGGTTTGCCCTTGGGAAGCCTTCGGCGACATGGAGCTCAGCGACTTGGCCAAATACGGCATCATCTAAACCGGCTGCCTCCCCCCTCTCCTCTGCCCGGTCCTCTCCGCCCTGCCTTCTCTCCGTCCCAGCTCGGCACGCCAGCATAAGACTGCCGGCGAACCCACTAATGCCCTCTCGTCTATCTACCTCATGCCTCACCCCACTGAGAGGAAGGAGGGCATAATCATGTTATTTTTATATGATTATATGATATTTTTTATAGGATATATTTATATATATATAAATATGTGAAATGAGAAGACGAGAAAAAAAACCACCCACTTACCGTGTTCCCTTCTACCGACTCCTACTCCCCGCCCACCCTTCCTTTTTTCGGACCCACAGCCCCCCCACACCCCCAACCCATGGCAATGGACGCGAGCAAAACACTGTCTAGCTGTCTATTAAAATGTAAATATTTTGTTCTCAGCGTTGAACCTTTTCACCATGTCTCCCGTCCTACCTTTTGTACATCCTCCCACACTTGTTTTGAGTTGTCTTTTCTACTCTTCGTGCACAACTGTAACTGTACTGTAAACACCAAGAGATGCAAGGAGAGTGTGTGATATGCTGCAAAGGTGAAAACTACAATGCAGCCTCACGTCATCACGGAGGGTCGACTTCCTTTAATCCCATCCGTCTCGCTTTCTTCCTTCCTCCATCTTTCTCTCTCTCCCTCCATCTCTTTGCTGCTGTCTGAACCCACGTCCTTCAGAGAAAGACAAAGGCATATGCTGTAAGTTATGTGTTGCAAGCACAGAAGATGTACTGTGAATTGGAACGTTCTGATAGGATGCAGTAAAATGTGTATATTTATAGTACTCATGTTGTCTTTTTGGTTTCTCTGGAACATAAAAGTTGCAAAAAAGGAAAGGGAATCATGGGATTTATCCTAAGCAGAGATTTGTTAAATAAACAAAATATAACTTAATATCCCTCTCTTAACTCGAATGCTGTTCGAGTACATCTAATAATAATTACAGTTCATCTTGCATTCGACACACTCTAACGTGGCTCTTTGTAGGGCAAGTAAATCAAATCATGGCATGGATCATCTATTGCACTAACTACAAGATCCCTTAAAAATACATTAGACATTTTACTGAACAATGTAGCTTTATCTACTTTTGAACACACCTTACACACTGTATATTAACAACAGTCCACAGCTATGCTAGCAGCTCAGTCAGGTAGTATTTGGAAGTAGCACAGCTTTGAGCTAAATGCTAATACGAGCAAGCTTCAGTTAGCACGTTCACCCTGCAGACTATGCGTGTTAGCATGCTAACGTTTGCTGACTAGCATTAAAAAACAGCACACAGCTAATGGGAATGTACTGTATAAGTGCTACATGAACAATTTCTAACCCACTACGATGAGTCACTTGTCTCAAAGTCAATTTGTTCTTAAAATGAGTTTAGTTCTTATTTACTTCACGCTTAATTATACAAGTGGTTTTTCATTTGCGAAGACAATCTTGCTGAACAGCACGTGTGATAATCCACAATGGAATGGAAAGATTCCAGTGGCATTTCGCCGAGGGAACCAGTGCGATGACAACTTCCAGGTTGCCATACAAAGATTTTGACCCATTTGTGCTGGTGACCAAAGTTACTACCGTTTATTCTGAGGCGGAAATTATTTTGTCATAATAATCCATCCCAAGTGTTGTTAACAACAATTACATTAGGTGGAGCCAAACAGGCATTAACTTGTGTTGTGTTCAAAAATGAAGAAACGCCGGACGGACAGAGGTCATCGCTGATCAAAAGGTTAAAATCAAATGTATTTAATAAGGAGAGATGGCGAACATCTCAGCTGAGGAGCCGCTGGTCTCAGCAGCCAACAGGCCCCAGGTCAGTCCTTTGACCATCCCTAGTGCCCGTCTGTCGCCTCCACGAGCAAACCCAAGAACAATGGTTCCTACAGGTATTTATGACAATGCTTAAAGGTGTGAAAGTCAGTGTCCACACCTCTGGGAGTGGTCTTCTGGTGAGTTCAATGTAACTCGGATTTCGAATGATCCATAGTCAATATCAGTTGTTGTAAATATTGTCATTACTTTATTGATTACACGGTTTCAGAATCATGGCTGTATTCTGGTGTACACTATATGCATTTTTATTAATTTTATGAACCGGATCGTCAATTTGTTTCTAATATCCTACACTTGCTAACTTAAGGTAAAGTCAGGGATCACTAAGTTCAAAATTGATCAGCACTTCATTTAATAGTTGTTAAGAGTTTTGGACCAAAAGCCAACAGAGAAACCAGGTTGGTAGATTAAAGCTCAGAAACCACCAACTACCACGTCACCTCTTCAAACCTCCTTTAACGCCGTTGTCTTTCCCAGACACTGGGGTTCCTACGGTTTCTCTTTCTGAAAAACAATCTGCCCTCAGTGCCGAGTGACAGAGGATTAAACACGTGACGTTATGTTTGAACTCCTCCGGTTTTAGGTGACAGTCAGGGGGACTCACGGTTTGGTATTAGTAGATAAACATCAATGGGTTCATATGATACACACTCTTTTACAGAAACTGTATATGCATACAATTGTGCGCTACGGCACGCAAACAACTTGATGATCGAATAGACAGAGCTGTGTTTTCGCAGTGTGACTTTACAGTGGAAGAGAGACTTAAGGTTCGGCCGAACACACCCTATAAACTATTCACGTGTCCCGGCATGACGGGCGGTTATGCGTGGACTTGCAAAAGACAACAGTTGAAAACGCACTCTATTCTTGATGCAACTCCACCCGGGGCGAACTCACCACCTGCAAATATTGTTGCTGTGATTTACCGGTCACCAAGGCGACGGCCGGTCCCGGGCTCCTTATCCCGACGAGGCCGGGATGAGTCAGTTGGACTGCTTTGGTTTCACATGAACTTCTTGCTCACACCCAATCTAGAGCAGGGACGCAAATCCTTATGGAAAATGGATTCATAGCGTCGCTCTACTTCCCTGCGGGTGTTTCTGTGCATCATCCCCCTCCAGGTGTGTGTGTGAGCCCCACCTATACTGAGAGGGAGGGAACCAGCAGGTAGAAGGAGCAGGTTTCTCTGCTCTTACCCAACCTTTTGATGCAAAGAGAACAGCGATCTTCTGTCTCAGACCTCGGTGACTCCATCGCGCTCCACCCGACCTCATCTGGCGCTCTTCCTGTTAGCCGGGGCAGAAATATGGCACCAGCAGAGGAGGAGCAGTGAGCCGCTCGTTTAGTGCAAAGCGTCCAGGCAAAAATCAAGGCTTTTGCCGTGGGATTCGAAAGGCATCGACTCCCATGCCTCAAAAGGTAAAAGGTAAGTTCCACTGTTTTTCTTTATTTGCAATTTTTTGGAGATTGCCTTTGATAGTTTAAGTTAGAATCACCAAACATGTTGTTGCAGAAATACCGACCTGTATAGATGAAGGCCATTACGGGGGCAAAGTTAAGGGCCGGGGTCAATAATTAATTTAGTCATCCAAGAGGTCGCCGTTGATTCTCAGACCAAGGCTTCGGTCACAGGCTGGAAGAAGTAGCAATGAGTCAAGAGTAAATATCTCTCACCTCCCATCTGACCTGCATGTAAACCCTGTATGTTTGTGTGTTTCTTCCTGTCGGTCTGTGGCAGTTTCATGAGCTGAGGCAGCAGAATAGTTACCATTCATGCCTCACATCCATGTCGGGAGTCGTTTTTTTTCCCTCTCAGCGCTGGTCGAACACTCCTCGGCCTTGTTCTGGCATGTTTGTGCACTGCCGCTCCTCCGCTCCTTCACTCATGCTGTCAAACGGCTTTCCTCCCTTTTCTGTTTACCACGCTGGGACCTCTGTGTTCTGCCGTAATCCATTTCAACACGCCCTTTTCAGAGAAAACGCGTGCTTCAGTTTGGCGTTGTTGAAGCATTTTGTGTTTCTTGTCTCAAAAGGAAAATATCTTCTTTATCAAAGGACGTTGAAAAAGGAAGGACAGGATCCCCAAGTTGATTACTGACTAAATATGAAGATGGCCTTTTCATCAGCGATGCACCTTCTCCCTGTGGTCCTCCTCTTCTACGTCCCTCTCACCTGTCTATGCCAGACAGCCAACGGCAACACCAGCAACACCATAACCACCTCCGCTCCCTCTTCAAATGTTACATTCCCAAAGGACGTGCCAGGCTGCGGCAGAGAACTGAACCTCATCTACAGGCACCTGTGCGACCGTCGGGCGGCGTGGGGCATCGTGCTGGAGACGCTGGCCTCCGCGGGCTTCCTGTTCAGCTTGGGTCTCCTCCTGGCCCTGCTGGTCTGGTCCCTGTGGATCTGCACTTCATCGAGGAACCAGCGCGGCAGCATCGGAGGCACGGTGGCCAGCATGACCATGTTCTTTCTGGCCACAGCTGGGATCTTTGCCATCACCTTCTCCTTCATCATCCGCCTCACCCCCGAGACCTGCCCCACCAGGCTCTTCCTCTTCAGCGTGCTCTTCGCCCTGGCCTTCTCCTGCCTGCTGGCTCGCTGCCTTGCTCTGCTGGGCTTCGGGGCGGCCCGCGGCTGGGGGGAGCCCGCCCTGGCCCTGGGGCTCTTCACCGTGCAGGTCATCATCTCCACCCAGTGGCTGATTGTCGTGTTGGTCCGGGACAAGAAGCCCTGCGAGCACAGCCAGGAGGAGTTCGTCATGCTGCAGATCTACGTGCTGTGCCTGCTGGCGATCAGCCTGATCCTCTCGCTGCACTTCCTGCGCCGCTCCTGCTCCACGTACAGCTACAGCTACACGGGGGCCGTCCGCCAGCAGAGCCGAGCACATGCCACCATGCTCTTCCTCACGCTGCTGCTCTCCGCCTGCGTCTGGGTGGTGTGGATAGCGATGCTCGTCAGGGGAAACCCCGAACTGGGCCGGCGGCCTCAATGGGATGACCCGGTGGTCAGCATCGCCTTGGTGACAAATGGCTGGGTGTTACTGATTGGCCACGGGTTGTTCCAGGTGGCCTGGTTCTGCAGGGGGGAGGCCAAGTCCAAGGATATCCCTCTGAGCTTTGCAGGTTGGACCAGCCCCAGTGCAGACATCCCAGGGCTGGCCAGCCAGAAGCACGGGAGAGAAAACGGAAGCTTTGAGAGCGATAGTGACAAGAGCAGAGGTGAGACGCTTTCCTTATTGGACAAGCTGAGAGGTGATCGATTGGAAGGTTGTTAATCGTGCAAAGGGGGGGGACAAGGGATGTAAAAAGGATTAATAGTGCAACCAACCATCAAGTCATTACATGAAAATGTCATGAAATGTCATCCAAAATAGGACAACAGTAGAATAAAAGATATTTAAGGGTGTAATAAACACAAATAAGAGCATTAATGTAATGGCTGATGACTACTATCTAAACATACAGTGGACCAACTCCTCTGTGTGTGTAGCCGGGTCATTGGCGTGCGCTTTAGGTGCATGTGCGTGCATGTGAACGTGTCCACCGCTCTGCGCTGCTCTCCTACGGCGGATACAGCCGATGGCGCCATCACAGCGCGCACGTTCTGTCTGCACCGTTAGCCGCTAGCTAGGCTCAAGTGTGGCCTTGCTGAGAGCCTTTTGAAAGAAATCTGAAATCTCGGATTCAGTACCTGTAATTTCCCAGGTGATAAAGAGTTGACAAAACATCAAGCAGCTGCAGAATAATGGTTTCAGCTCTAGGAAAAATAAAGATAATTACACATAATCACTGTGCCTCTCTGTATGAAGAACAGTGCATAATGGACCGATAACTAGCTGACTGGATCATGTCTCTCCCCTCAGGCGGGAGGCTTGAGCAATCTCTGCGATCACCCTACGATGGATTCTCTGTGTCAGTGAGTAATGAAGCATTAGGATCAACAATCTGACTTCTCAGGCTCTACAATTAAGAGGCGTGACCTTTTCACTACTGGAGTCAATTATAGCCGTGTCACATTGTAAGGTTAATGAGTGCTCTGTTTATCGGGGCTTATACGAACTGCACTGATGCGATGAGTGTGTGATTCTATGTTTCTGTGTGTGTGTGTGTGTGTGTGTTTCAGGAAGTTGACACAGAGAGAGATTACACCATTCCGCGCCCGCAGACCACCAACTATCGGGAACCTTATGAATATTAATTAAAAATCACTCACACAAACTGATCGATAACATGAATCCAAACTGCGGGTCACTCATGCACTAATGTGTACCCGGGACATGCTATTCCTATGTTTTGTTTTCTTGTGCAACTGTAAATATAATAGTATTTTAAATGTGCTACTAGGATTTAAAATATATCACAAAAGTAATTAAAGAGAAGATTAAAAAAACAGACAGAATGACTCATCTGCCTGTGGAGGGTGAACGGGTGCAGATTGTCTTTCTTCTGGTGGGAAACCCACATAAAAAGCTTCCCAGAAGAAGGGAGTCTTCATGACCGTGTGCGTGCGTGTGCCTCTGAGATGGCGTGTAATAGCCCCGAGGTGATGGAGGAGGCGTGAAACTGTCACTCTGAAGGTGCCAAACTGCTGAGTGGGGAAGAGGCTTCCGTGAACAACAGAGAGGAGCGAGGGAGATGAGATGAGATGAGATAGGACACCACAGGAGCCGGGATGGGACCGTGGTAGACTCGTGCCATCACTGCTTAACATCATGCTCAGAGTGTCCTCGCAGGCTCCGCTAAGTTAAAACAGTGGCTGTTTTCTGCCTGGATAAAACACAAGGACGCGCTTTACTCCTTTAACGCCACGTGCTCTAAATAAAAGGATTCATCTGTGAAACGATTGATTGTCATAAAGCCTCGTTTCTCCCACTCAGTCTGCACCGACGGCCCACCGAAAAGCTCCAAACCAGTCAGTGCCCCCCACGGCCCCCACCACACAGCGAGCAGGGTGCGGTACCGCACCTTCACCACCGCGGGGCAGTGTTTAAACACGCCGCGATAAAACCAGTCGGAAGGGACTGCTGAACTTTCACCGTCTGAAGGAAAAGGCCCGAAAACATAACAGCATGCGAGAACTATGATGTCATTTAAGCAGCAGAAGAACATCATCTACATAAGTCAGTTTTGAACTACATTCCGTCGGTTAAGCGGCCTGCAGCGACTCCTTTGACACCCAAAGATCATGATTGCAATAGATTGCAATCTTGCCCCCCCCCTTCCAATTCTTCTAACCTCGATTGGCCTCTTGTGCATTAGAGCAATTAGCAGGGATATGAGGTTTTCCGCCCATCTACGGCCATTAACTCCAGATGCAATTAAAGATTGTTCCAGATCCTCAAACCCCCCCCACCCCCAACCTCGACAGTGATGAGAAAGTTGGGAGTGTTTACCGCCGTTGTTGCCATCCATCATCTGACTCACGCTGGCTGGCTGGCGAGGAGGAGGAGGAGGAGGAGGAGGAGGGTGGTGCTGGGTAATAAGAACTCACAGACCAGTATAAAAACCAAACAGTTTATTTATTATATACATTCAATAATAAGAGAATAAACAGAAGGCAGACACACGGATGGCAAAAATAAAACATTGTGAGAAAATACATTTACTTATTGAAAAGAATCACTTGGATAAATGAGCTTTAAAGAGCATGTGACGTTTAACAAAACAAAAATAATCCACATGCAATTCAAACTCGTTCGTGAGATCCCTGTACAAAAAAATAAGAACTCCTACTGCGTTGACTCTGCACAGTGCAGGGGGAGGGAGGAGGGGTGGTGTCATGCTGCGTAGCGCTGCGGCCCCGCTCACCCACTTCAGCTGAGTTTCCTCTCACATTTTGCATCATAATTACCGTTGTGTCATTGTGGTTATTTTTCTTGGGTTTTGTTTTATTGTCATCATAAAAGCAAACCGAGGAGGGTCAGGGGGGTCGGGGTCGGGGGCTGGTGATCAGAGAAGCGGCTACAGAGCGTCGATAACCGGATTGTTTGAAGCAGGACCGAAGCGGCTTCCGTAGAGCGTCACAGGCGCTCGCCTCCCCCCTGCCTCTCTTTGCGGAGGCCCCCCCGGCCCCTCGCATAACATCAGTTTCCTTCCTTCTGCTATGTAAATACAGCCCCCCCCTTCTCCTCCTCCTTCTCCTCCTCCAGCACTATGATTTGAATTCATGCACTTAAAATGAAAAAGGTTCTCTGCCTGTCCCCTTTCCTCGCTCACAAAAGCATGCGTAGCAACACTTCTGATAACACTTATAAGGAATAATAAGACACAAAAAAGAGGTAATGCGCGTCAAAAATACTCATTGGACCTACTGCACACGGTTTACACAGTCATACAAAAACATTACCCTCCCCCACCCCCCCCTTTCCCTGCACCGTGTGTGCCGCCCTGAAAAGAAAAAAGACAGCAGGGGACGTTGTCGTCCTGTCAGCTCAGCTTCTCACCTTCACCACCAGTGTCCCTGCACCGAGCCACCCGCGCATTGTCCTGTTGGGAGGGGCCTCCGCTGACGCGGTTGTGCACGTTTGCCTCCTTTTAGGTTGCCAGTAATTCGGCTCTAATGGCAGACGCAACACAAAATATCCGCTCCAGACGTTCTGCTTGTCCCTCAGGATTCCATCTGCTCTGATTTCCCTCGTCTGCAGCAAACGCCTCCGCGCTGCGCTGCACGTTTCGTGCGCTAACTGGAGAGGAAAAAGAAGCCAATAGATGAGCGTCTGTGAACTCAATTCAATTTAACCAGGTTTGTTTGTTTGTTTGCTTGTTTTCTTTCGGAATTCCACAAATTGCTGTTCTCCGCCGTATTTTTGTAGACGCTGCTTCAATAGCCTTTTCCCCAAAGAGCTGTTTCAACTCTGGGCTGAAAGACGCAGCGTCGACCGACAGATTAGTTAAAAATATAACAAAATAAAAAAGGCACACCAAAAAAGAAAAAGAAAAAAAAACAAAGATCAACCACAAACTTATGAAATACATCAGGACCAAAAAAAGAATGTGCTTTCTTCAGAAAATCTTTGGAACCAAAAAAGGCAAATAATAGCAACAACAACACAGTGAGAGTATATGGAGACGTGATAAATACGGGGCAGAGACGAGGTGGCTGAGGAGAACTAACACGATCCCAGAGAGCGCGATGACGGATTTAAAAATTCTGAAATGATGTGGTTCATGTGGCGTAACGGCGCCTTAAAACAAATAGGGCTGGGGGTAAATTCTGGTTGCTTCACAACCCCTTCAGGTGAGCGCATCTCTCCGTGTCCAGCGTATATTGTGATCCGGTCTGTTGGGAGGGAGCCTGGAAACCGGAGGCGGGAACACCTCGGGGGCCAGGAGGGATCCCGTTTGGCAGATGCTTTGTTCGCCGCCTCGGCTCCGCTAAATCTAGTCCATTCGTGTTCGATGGGCTTCTTTGTCCGTCCATCTGTCCCGCTGCGTGGGGGAGGGGAGGCGCTGCACTGGCTTCTCAGAATGGACGCAGCTGGGACAGATGACCTCCCGTGTTAGTGTTGCACTGGTACAGTAAGAGGTGTGTGGACCGGCGAGAAGGACAAAGGAACGCTTCCACCTGGTTTCTATGCAAATTCTTGTCGGTGGCGGCAAAACTAAACAGATGAAGGAAAAACTGAGGTAATGCAGAAAAAATAAATCTTTGTTTTCCTTGTCATTTCCTCCTTTTTGAGATTTTTTTTGCCTTTCCTTTTAAATTTGTAGGGGGGCGGGAAGAATAGATTTTTTTCCCATGCGGTGTTTGTTGTTGCCAGGACAACGGTGGTTTCTGTCGGGCCGGATCGGTCCCGATTCCCTCCGGCTGAATGCCGGCGTATTCCAGCTCAGCAACCCAACGAGAACGATTCCTGCATCTTCTGGATGGAGCTGTCCGTGTGTCCCCACCATGAAGCAGAGCGGGCGCTCCACCTCCACGTAGTGTTTAAAAGAGATCCGTACCTTTGATGGCGACATTCAGAGGAAAATGTACAGTAAACAGAGTACTTGGTGTTTGAATGAGAGTGTTTATATATGGCAGCGTATATATTCTAAGATCAGACGTAGAGGAAAAAAAAAAAAAGGTGAGCGGGATCACTCGGGATCAGCAGTCTCTCTCCTTCCAGGTCCCGTAGTGTTAAAACAGTCCTAAATTGTGCACCCCCCGGAGTTCAAAGTAGCACGGGACAGTCCTGGCAGGTAGGTCCTTGTTCCGCCGTTGAAGAACACGTGGACAAGAGTTTGAGTTGATGGTGTGGCGAATGACTTCCCCTCGCCACGGAGGTAAAGAAGAAACAAACACACGGGTCGCCAATATAGTCCGCCTGCAGAGGAATGGTGCGGGGGGGGTGGACGGGGCGGAGGGGGGGGGGGGGGTGTTGCTGGACAAAGAGCTTGAAAAAATAGGGTTTTGGAGCGATGTGTGAAATTCCTCCGGATGGGATTTGAGGTTTTCTTTTAGTAAGGAGCAAACCTACTGTACCCTGCCCGGTATAGACTGGCCTGCAAGACACAGAAGGGTCAACGGTTACAACTGAATATGAGCCATGTGATATATATATATATATATATATATAGATAGATCTATATATACGCTGGATCAGAAGAACAGACAGAAGTGGGCGGGGCTACACAAAAAAATGTATTCATGTCCGTTTTACTCACCATTGCTCCCACTCCGTAGGCGGCGGCGGCCGGGGACAGAGCGTGGTAGGGATCCGTAGTGTACACCCGGCCATAACTAGTAACACAAACACGACACACAAGACGTTACACATTTGTCACACTGTCCTCCATTAACCCCGGTGTTACACGTGAGGGGGCGCTGGGCCTTTTCTGTCGGACGTTACGCTGCATCCGGTTATCCCGCCACATTCAAGTGAAGACTACATTTCACGGTTAAAGTCCGTCCGGCTCTCACTCTGATGTCATGCATTAGTGCCGCGTCACTGAACACGGACGTCCTCCCACACGCAGAGGTGTCTCTCTGGTATCCCAGCCGAGGCATTACGTGTCCCGGGTTCTCCTCACCTGTCGCTGTAGGCAGCGGCTGCGGCGGTTGCTCCGGTTACGGCCGTTGGCTGAGCGTAGCGATACGCGGCGGCGGCGGCGGCAGCAGCAGCGGGGTAGCCTCCCTAAAGACACACACACACACACCAAATATAATTAAGTCACATGGCTGGCAGCAGGGAGACACCCGGGCATATAGAGATGCAGTATACTGACACTTTAGAGTTTCATGAAGGAATATTGTGAATATGCAAATATATAATAATAAACATTATTTTTAGAAATACTAAAAAAAAAAAAGAATTATAATTGTATGAAAGCTGAAGCCTATTCATGCGTTCACTACTGAAACACTGATGTGTGGGGGGGGGGGGGGGGGGGTGGTTGGACGCTTTGTCAGTGAGACAGAGAGGAAATTGGACTGTGGCGGTTCTATTTTTACCACTGGGGGTAAACAGTGGAAGACTAAACGTACACACGGTTGAGGCCGCACAGAAAGATCGTTGTCTCTCGTCAGGACAGAAATTAAAGCAGTGACGTCATACTTTGGGAGAAGGCCTACGGTTTGAGGACACCAAAGGAGTGAGACATTTATGACAAACACAACAGCATTTTCTATTGTTTGGGGGGTTTTCACGTCAATTCTGGCAAGAAAGAATCAGAGGAAGATGGAAAAAAAAAAGAGTCCCATGCACACAAACTCACCCACACAAGCCTATGCTGACTAGTTAAATAAGCTCCTGCACTGAGACCACATGCATGAGCCAAATTAAAGTCCAAACCTATCAAACAGAAACTAAACGGCACCGCGTTTGGACTCGATCGGAACAGAGCACACAGCGAAGCACCCCGGCATCATGAAGGCACAGAGAGGTGCTTTCTGGGTAAATTGGGGGAAAGGGGCCCCCGGTGTGTCCGCATGCAGCAGCGCATGCTCCAGCCACCCTCCCAGCAGGGATGGGAGCGGTTCATCCAGGATGTTCTCCCATCCCGCCGTCGGCCTTCCAGTTTGAAGGAATAATGCAGGAAACCTTTGGTTTAGGATTAACCGTCACGGTTGCATCGGATTTCTATTTTCTACTAGAAACTAGAGTTTCTCCAAATCTAGGCAACCGGACAAAAGAGACCGGCTTCTCTTCAGGAAAAATAAATACATGAAAAACCATGTAGTGGTTTAGTAAACAAAAAACATACAAAGCCCACCCCCACAAACAAAAACAGCGCACTTTTCAGTGAGTTAGAACACTAAAGTGAAGCAAAAAAAACAAAAAAGTTGTTTAAACAACTAAAAGTTGTTCCAGATCAGATGGGGAGGTGATTGATAACCAGAGGAGCTGATAGTGACACGGTGCACACGGTGGGTTTGGTGGTGAGTTGACCCTACCTGAGGCAATCTGGGACTAAGGACTGAGTCCTGAAACACTAGTCTATAGAGAGAACAGAAACAACCGTCGTCAACCCGGATACACAAACACACACACTCTTGTTCAGACACTCGCACACTGTTGCATCCGCCCACAGAGCCGCCTTCATGGTGGTGTTCGACGCGCTCCGTCCTGTCGCTGAGATTTCACGCCCATCTTTGAATCAACGCGACCCGCTTTGACCCAGCTGGGTTTGGGGCAGGACAAAAATAGACGAATGAATCTGCTTTCGTCGTTCACCTTTACGCGGGCAGCTCTGTGCAGCGCATGACTAGGCGCTCATGCAGAATCAACCCCCCCGGGGGGGAAAAACAGGAGAGCAGCAGGAGGTCGTGAGGGGAGAGCAATACAGAGAGGGTGTGTTTGGTGGGAGGCGAGTTTACTTACATACAAGTCTGCAGCTCCGTAAAACCCATCCTGATACACCACACTGAGAGAAGAAGGAAATGGCAGGGGGGGGGGGGGGTGCAAAACGGAGCGGTGCACAGTCCCAAAACCAGAGTGGATGGAGGTCAAAACACAGCGACAAAACAAGAAAAGATGGCATGGGAAAGAGAGAGGGGGGGGGGGGGGGGAGGAAAAGAAGTTTTTTCTCACCCCTTGCGGCTGGGGGAGAAAAACAACTTTCCCTGTAAGCTCTTCGCCCAAAAGCTAAAGGATTTAACGATGGGCTTTTGTGTGAAAAAACATGGGAGTGGGTGCTCCCCGGTACCACAAGAAGGGAAAATTGGGAAGGTATCCCCCCCCCGCTCATTTAATGTTGTTTAGCTGCATTTGATCATTGTCATACTGAGCCAAATAACAATAACAAATAACAGACTGTGACAGTCGCCCACCATTAGCATCACAGCATCGACGTGCACGGTGCGCAAATCATGAAGTGACAAAAAACAAACGAATACGGGTCACAGCTCATTTAAATAACGGCCACCAAATCTGAGGCTTCTGTGTAAACTGTGCAGTGTGGTTTTCTGTGTGTGTGTGTGTGTGTGTGTGTGTGTGTGTGTTCATGCTAATCTGCGAGTCTATTCAAATGAACCTCTGATGGAAGAATCCCATCAGCGTGTCGACTCGCTGCTCAACGGTTCAATGACGGACCGGCAAGGTGTGAGGTGTGAATAATGCGTGAGCGCGCGAGGTGAGTTAAGCCGCTTCAAAAAGGACCAGGAAAAAAAATGATTGCGGGGGAAACTGGTTATTCGTGAGTTCACTCAATCTCCTCGAGCGCGCGCGCGAAAATCCGGCAACTGCGGCGCAACTGCGGCGCACGAGCGGCGCTTCTTACCCGGGGTAGGTGGGGATGGCGGGCTGAGGCACGGCGGCCCGCACTGCGCTGTAAACGGGCCGGCCCCGCCCCCTCAGGTGGGCGCCGCGGAACGCCGCCGCTGTGGTGGCCGCCGCGGCCGCCGCTGAGGGGTATGGGAACCCTGGGACTGAAGGACGAGAAAGAAGGTGGGTCAGCAGCTGATCTAGAGGAGGAAAAGGTAACGACGCAAGGGGGGTGGGGGAGGTGGTTGGGGTAGGGGGAAAGGACAATGTAAGCAGAAGAAGTCCAGATGAATTAAGGAGGAAAGAAAGAGCGGCGGGGGAACACTCCCGCCGCGGCCTTGAGGGCCCGCTACCAGTAAAGGCATCAATATGAATCAAAGATCGGAATGTGATTAAAGCGGAACGTAGTCCGTGGGCACGGATTTTAAAATGTGGGTGAAGCGGACGGAGGCCGGCCTTACTCTGTCAGTGGATCTCAGGCCGTACACGGCGCCCATCATGGGACTCAATTTCCACCCGGCTGAAGGTCACACAGAGAGGAAGGGGCACTTAATTATTATGAGCATTCAATACTACAGTCTTTGCCCCCGCTGCACCGTTACGCCCCCCACGCCCCCTCCCGCCCCCCCGCGCCTGACCTCGATTCCGCAAGACGCGCTCAGCAAAGCACTTACGAAGCAGTACGCGTTCCCTGAACTCCTCCAGCACACTGCGCTGTGGCTGCATAAGCATCACGGGGAAATGTTGTTATACGTGACTTCACGGGAATAACCCGTAATAATCACCATCATTAGGATCATTTTGTTCACTATTCTGCAACGATGCTGCCAAGACCGACTGGGGTCAAGTTGACTACACCGCTTTCCTTCAGCTCACATCGCGGCTGGTGGTGGCAAAAATAACACCACGAAAACAAACACCCTGCAGCCGGTTTGCGGACGGCCTTACATAACGCGGTCCGGCTCCAACTTCTCCCTCCACCCGCTTCCCTGTGTGCGTGTGCGTGTGTTACCGTAGGGCAGCGTGCTCAGGGCCTCTCCGTTCGGGTACGGGCTGACCATTTTCTTGTTGGTCATCACCCTGGCGGTGGCGTTATTCACCTGGGGGACGGAGGAGCAGGAGGTCAGACACACGACGCTCGGGACAACCGAAAAGAGGTGCACAGACGCAGACGCAGGGGCCGATGTGTGCGTGTGTGTGTGTTTTGTTCAGCATGCTGGTGTTTATGCCTCCATCCCTTTGTGTGTACTTATTGTGTAGTTACTGCGTCGGTAAAACCGAGGACTTGTGTCAACATCTAGTTTAAAAGAAAGTATTAAGTGTTGCTGCCTTGCTGACTTTACACTTTTAGAACACCGTCCCTGGTGCTACACCAACGACAACAAACGTAACTCCTGCCACGGCTGCCGACTCTTTCGGTGATTAAACGTGGGGGGGGGGGGGGCGTTAGGGGGATTTTCCGTCACTATGCAATTAAAAATGCCCACAGATTTGGTGACTCATTGTGGACTCGTTGTGAAGGAGCAGCAGTGCAAAACTGAGCCGCACAGGCGAAAACATTGCGCGTGCTGTTGTTTAGCTCCCTGGATGCGTGTGCGTGCCGGCTGACATTTCGGTCTAATGCCGAGCGTTCAATCCAAGATGGCCGATAATCTCCTCTCTGAGCTTCAAAGGCTCCCACTGCCGTCCCTTCATCTGTCCACGTCTTCCTTTGATGGGTCTTAAGAGAAGGAGATCGGGGCTCCCAGTGCCGCATCTGACCGCCAACATTAACGACCTTCTGGCTAAATGAGAGGAGGGGGGGGGGGGGGGGGGGGGGGGGACGAGGACGGGGGGGCGCTGAGGACTGAGAGTCACACTTCTCCATTTAAGAGCGCATTAAGGCTTCGGCGGCCTCCCTCGCTCTCTCAGTGAGTCATATTCTGGGTCCGCGGGGCGTCGTTTCCCCTCATTGCGGATGACAAGGTCGCCGGCAAGCGGTTCAATTAGCCTCGCTGGCGGCCGCGACTGACCACGGGTGTCTGAGTGGAAACATTTTCAAATGTAAAGCTAACGGATCGTTTCTTTTTGGACTTTTTCCACAATGAAGTTCTTTGTTGAGCGGTTACGTGCGATGAAGAGTTAAATGGTGCGTCCGTGTGTTCAGCGTGTGTGCACGTGGTTGTGTCATGTGCAATCACTGAAACGGGGGGTAGAAGGTTGACAGGAACACATGCAAATCAACAGAACATGGAGGCAAATCTCAAAGTGTTAATAGTCAAAAATAAGAAAAACATTCAGGCTGTCCTCGTCCCACTTGCCCCTCCCAGTCTGGCCTGAGCAGTAAAACCAGGACAAAATGAAGTCACATTTCCATATGAAACCAAACTTGTGGGGTTTACACACCTAAAAAATAAAGTCAAACAAAAATATTTACAAGGGAGAGAAAGGGGGGTGCAAAAAACATCTGTTCGACAAAATCAAGTCATATACCACAGAGATTACACGCAGCCAAATATGGGCGCAACACATGACCAAGAGTGAGTAACGAACCAAAAAACGTAAAAAGTTCAGCCAATCAGCAAGCGTCGAATGCAGCATAGAGACCAATCCAAACAATCGCAGCACTCCCACATGGAACACGAGACGAAGATGGGACGGATACGCTCAGAGGAAAGGATGCAGGTGAGAGGTAAAGAGACAGAGCCAGTCCATATACAAAAAACTAAACATGGGAACAGAAAGATGGAGTGAAGAGAAAGAGGAAAGGAAAAGAAAAGGTTTACATGAGCAACACAAAAAAAAAGAAAACTATTAACAATTATCGGTTTTCAAAAACAAAACATGAATCCCAAGGTGCATCATTCAAATAAAGCAATTAGATTTGGTGACCATTCTCCTGAAAATCTCTTTGTATGTGGTGGGTTGAGAAACAGCACCAAAGGATGGAGGAAAAGAGAGAGAGAGAGAGAGAGAGAAATCCCCATTCCCAAAAGGAGAGAAAATCAAATAAACATGAGACACTATATCAAGCATTAGAACTGTGTCACAAAATAAGACCAGTACACTACAACTACTACTACTACACAGACAATCCACTACGAGAAAAAACAAACCCAAAGAAAAACCAAAATGGCAGCATTAGACCCAAAAGACCGTACGGTAAACCCCATATTGTTTTTGAGATGCATATGGTCACACAACTTTTATGAAAGAAGGAAACTTCAATCATCATTTTGTGAACACGAGCTGCTCTCGTCGAGTTAAGAAGGGACAGCTGGTGGGAGTTGTGGCCAGTCAGTGTTATTATGAGTTAGGACTTATTATATTAAAACTCCATCCTGGGAATAATCCAGTGTTTCATCCTTTGAGCTGCTGCTTATGAGCACTAGTTTTATCAATTAAGAGTTGGTGACTTTCTTCAGAGAATAGGGTGATGAAACTACTGTTTGAATGTCGTAAATGGACGTAGGTTCCCTTTAAGTGGGATAAACATCTCCACATGAACATAACTGGGTAAACTCCCCACCTGAGATCGTCTCAACTTACATTTCTCCAAGTGCACACTGACTAATTAGCTGGAATATGTGACCAATGCACGCAAAGCTAAAAGCAGGCAGCTGAATAAAACAAAGCAAACTCAGGACCACAGCGGCACGATGGGTCCTGCAGCTCGGCGTGCGGTCAGAGCAACCGTAAGCAGCGAAGCGCCGCTTCTCCTTTTCTTTTTTTCTAATCGTTGATCGAGACATTGAACACTACACACATCGAGTCCAAATGGAGAATTAAATCGGATGGATTGTGGACAGCCGTGTCGTTGCATGGAGGAGGGTGATTACATTCGGTCATTCCCGGTGAGGTGTTAATGACATGGTGGTGCGGAGGGGGTGGGTAGGGTGGGGGGGGGGGGGGGGGGGGGGGGCAGGCATGTGGAGGAAATATTACTGCTGAAACACCCAATTAGCAGAAAGATGGCGTGTCCATCTGTGCGTGTGCTCATGTGTTTACATGACGTTACGTAACGCCGCCGCGTCACATTCAGATGAGCTGACTGACATCGTACTGTACGTCCTACTGTATCAAATGCCCGTTACAGAGGGAGGGGGGGGGGGACAGAGGGGGGACGGGGGGGTCAGTTCAGTGATAGATGTTTGAACACAACTTACCGTTGCCGTAGAAACAGCGTGTGGTTACCGGAGACTGACAACAACACACAGAAGTCGTCAGGGAAACAGAAAAAAAATATAATAAATGAAGGAACAAATAATCCTAGTAACAAAAGAAACCTAAATGCCCCCCCCCTCCTCCTCCTCCCTCCTGCTCCTCCTCCTCGAGCCATGTGGAATAAATAAAAAACCTGATAGCAGCAGTGTGACAGCTCAGAGTATTCAGAGAGAGGAGAGAGGAGGCAGAAGGGATGCCGGCTCCCTGAGCGCCGAGCATCAGCATCCCGCCCACCGGTGACAGGAAGGGATCCGCTGCTCTGGAGAACAAAGGGAGAACGTTGCCTTACCCACGAAAACTAGCCTCGTGTGGCGGGCGACTGAGCCGCAGCGGATCGGAACACTTCCCAATGAAATGCACAGCGGCTTCCGTCGTGAGAGCAGAGAGAGTTAAAGCGGTTTGACGCTGGGAGCTACGCCTCGGCCACAAGAGGGGAGCCGCTGTGATTTCTAGTCGGCACCACAAAATCGCTCTCCGAGGGTTGTTTGGTAGTCAAACAATAAAAATAAAAAGACGGGAAAATCGGTAAACCAAAACAGACGCCGATGAATGGAAACAGAGTAAAAGACAACAAAGACGTTAAAAAGATTGCTTTCAAATCAAAACACAAAAAGGGACAGAAAGACAAACTTGACTGGCAACAAGAGAATGAGGTGATCAGGAAGAAAGAGGGACAGGAGGCGACAGAGAGGGTCGGAAAGGGAAAAGTGCAAACTCTCTTTTCAACCTTTTTTTTTCACCCACGTACAAAGCAAACACACATGGATCCTCACATTTCAATCGTTCAATCGTTTCAGACCATGCAGCAACAGAAAGCGTCGACAACACAAAGGCACTGAGGGGGGAGGGCGGTTCATCTAGGAAAGGGTTACCGATTCACAGCTATGGAAATAATGTGTCTGAAAACAATCAACCGGTTTACAGTGTTGAGAAGAAGGCGGGCTGTGAATAGTGTGTGCGCGCACGGTCAGTCATGCACAACTACGGGCACAACTTCTCCTCATCCGTCTCACCGCACTCATCCATGCACTGATGATGACACTCAACAGAACCCGTCCTCCCTCTGCATGCAGAGCTGCACCGCGTGTGACACACACACACACACACGCCTCAGCTTTTCTGCTCTGTTGCGTTCAAATATCGGAGTAAAACTCTGCGCTGTGGAGGAGCAGTCACCTCCTGTAACACATCGACCTCACACGAGCCAACTTGGAGCTTGGCTGGATCATCAGGGATTCATATTAAACTCCAAACTAGAATGAAAACAATATTAAAATGTAGAATGTTTGTGTACGTGTGTCTGAGCGGTCCAGAGGAACCTCTACCAGAACCTCTGCAGGCAAAGGAACCCAATTTCATCACAGCCACGATGTTGCTACCTGGAGCAGAGCGCCGTTAGGAGGCGGTATGTTGCAGCGCGATCACAGAGCCCCGGGCGGGTGGAGACGCGTTGAGGTGTGTGTGTGTGTGTGTGTGTTTGCGGGTGCGTACCGAGATGTATAGAGGCCGATAGGACTCTGCACACACACACACACACACAATTCTTTACTTACATGGATACATTGGAAGCACACGGCAAACTGACTTCTCCAAAGCGCAGAGTTTTATTCCAGACAAAGAAAAGTACAGTGGAACTTTAAGCACAACGATTGTCTCTCTAGTTCCTACAGGCGACACACATGCACGGGGCAGCTGAGCTACGGGACGAACCGCCCAGCGACTCCTGCTGACATGCACAAAGAACGCCAGTTCGGCAATCCTTTTTTGAAAACCAAGAACGCAAACCATCGGTTCTCAGCAGGTGGAGCAGGACGAGAAGCCACCCGGGTGCAACGGACATCCCGCCCACCGAACAAGTACGTTATCGCTCCCACCACCGAAACGGGCCCGACACACGGCAGAGAGTAAACATGCAGAGGAAAAAACAAGAACACAAACCAGCCGTCTGCAGCACCGCCTCAGCTGCACATCTGTACATTGAAATACCAACCATGCAGCCTACGTCAACCCAACTCATGCTGGTGGATCGCAGTGAACTGAACAGTCACAAACACACACAACAATTTTGTATTAATATATAACCATTATACACAGTAAGCCTATACTTCAGAGTTGATTAATTATACTGCAGATAACTAGTTAACTCTGTGCCATAACCGCCCCAAAAACAAGATAATTCAGCAAACTCTGAACAGATGTGACCAACCAAAGCCAGAGTGACATCTGCAAGGAAGGAGAGCTGCCAGATGGCATCGCCTCTGAAAGAAAAGCCTGGGCCCCTTTCTCTGCAGAATGTGTGTAAACACATAGCCACAACTTGTCCCGCGCCAGCCTTTTGCGTCCTCGAGCCCATGCACCAGAAACACACACACACACACACACACACACAGTCACACTCTACGGCCTCCTGTAGCTGTCCGCCATGCAGCCGATGCGCGGCTCGCTACATCCCCGACACCGCTACCCGAGTACATGCAAAGTGACAACTGAAAAGAGAGACCAACTGCTCGCGGATTAATACAACATCATGCAAAACGTGTGTTGGTGGGGGGAGGGGAGGGGAGGGGGGGAGAAACAGAGAATCGGGTTATAGCGATTGCCAGAGACAACACAGGCTTGTAGACTAAACACAAGAGGGGAACTGATGCACTGATGCAGGGTGAACCGGCTCCATCAGTATCCACTCAGCTTGCTGATTGACTGAAGGTGGAGGAGGGAGTGTGCGTTGTAGAGGTGGAGGCAGCCTTTCATTCACGAACCACACTGCAGCACAGCTGAGAACAGAACTAGAAAAAAAGGGTCCGGCCACCTCATCCGTCATGCAGACCCACACCCACACACACACACAAAGTCACCATAATTAGCCCATGCAGAAATCCCAGCTCACAGTGACGTGGGTCAAAGATTGGACAACTGGAAACCCCAAATTAAAATAAATAAATAAATAAAATGCTTCCAAAAACTTACATGCTTAAGTAAAAACAGAAAAACATTGATTAAAATCCCAAATAAATAACCTGGATGGGCATAAAACTTCAATTACATCAAATATCAAGTGCTTTGGATCTTTGGAGGAATCCCATGGAGTGAACATGCATCAGTGTTGCTGTGATTTCCCAGCATGCTGCTGTTGTACCAGGAGGCCAAACGCTTGTCACAACCACTTAGCCACGGCACCGGCGGAGGGGAACGGAGGAGGATTTCGACACTAGGGAAGGGGAGAAGAAGAGCATCCGACAACAATCTGCCATGCATCATCCGTTTCCCACTGCGGTCCTCTCGTGCCCTCCGGTGCCGACAAACACAAACATCATCACAATGTCTCGGGAAGAGTTGGATTATCTGCACGGCTAGTTATGAATCAGTCAGGGGGGGGATGTGAATTATGTGAAAATAAATGCTGTATAGGAAAAGTACCCAGCATGCCTTATGTAGTGATCTTGCACCCCACCCTCCCCCGATCATTCCACACCACAAACACGTCTTTTTGAAATCTCACAATGAACATATTGCAGAGGGGTCGAGGAGGTGGGACGCCAGTGGGCCGCATCAGAGCATATCACTACAGGGAGGGCCGGCGCTAGCTGGCAGTCAGTGATCAAGCAGAATTATTATGAGTGCAGAAGAGACGATGTGAGAAAGAGAGACAGAGGGGAAGATTACCTCAATCTTGCGACCTTCCACCAGCGTGCCGTGGAGCTTTTCCCTGGCTCTCTCTGCGTCCGCGCTGGTCTCAAACGTCACAAAGCCGAAACCCTGTGCAACACGACAGAGGTTAAAGAGGTCGGCGGCGGGTGGGAGAGATAGGGGAGGATCCTCGGGGGTGCACTCTGACATTGTCTTGGAGACAATTGACTTTGGTATTAACGTTTCCCGCGCGGCGTGCTGCTGGCGCGTCACAAAGTGTCACAGGCGCACAGAGAAGAAAAATAGCTGTCAACCTAATTGGGGTGTAGATCCGACGAAATCAAAACGTGCGCTTACCTTTGAGCCCCGCTCATTGAAAATGATCTCTACATCCAGAATCTTCCCATATTGCTGCAAATAAATGTGAAGGGAAGAAATTAGCAAACAGGTAAAAGCAAAGAAAGCAGTGTATCAGTATCAGGGCCCTTCTTGCATGTCGGTGTCGGAGGATTCTGCTAAATCAGAAGCTTCTGAATGTTCAGCACTAGGGGTCGCTAGTACACCGAAGGCGACTTCCCGCAGGCCTCCGAAGCCTTTCCTTCTGTCCTTTTGCTGAACTCTGCTGTCCCCGCATTCCTCTCACCTGGACCCTTTGGATTCAACACACTGACACACGTGGCAGCTAATTGCCCCTCCAAACACCACGAGAGTATTTGACTATTCCCTCCCCTCTCTGAGCCACACCCCTAACAAAACCCTTTGAACAAATGAGCCCCCCCCGACAACGCCAGCTTCTCACCCCAAACATCTGCCTGAGGTCAGGGTCCCGGAAGCGGAAGGGGATGTTTGAGACGTGGAGGCGTTTGGGGGTCCCTTTGGCCTCTGAGGGGTCTTCCACAGAGCCTCCCGCCCCCGTGGCTCCTGTGCCGCATTGTACACCCGCCTCTCCCTGGGGCAACTCCTCTGTCTTTCCCTGTGGAGTGGGGCGGGGGGAGGATAAGGGCGAGGAAGTTAAAAGCAATAAAATGACTTGATAATTACATACAAACGTACATCAATAGAGCTGAAGGCGGCTTTCCTTTGATACAAATGGATGTAAATATAAAAACAAACTGTTTACATTTTCTTCAATCAAAATAAAGCGCAAGGAAAAGCCGACGCAGCAAACTATGTAACAGAAAAACGCCCCAACCTGGGGGGCTTCTGAGAGGCCGTGCTTACGCTGTTGCTGCTGGGGGGGCTGGTGGAGGGGGCTCCGTTAGCGCCCGCCCCCACGTCTGCCGCGCCCCCGCCGACAAACATGGCCCCGGGGCCGAACTCGGCCCCCGGGAGCCCGTTCTGAGGAGGCGGTGGAGGGGGGAACGCTGAAAAGGGCGGGGCCACCAATCCCTCCTGTCCTCCTGTCGAATCCTGAGAACCCTGTGGGAGTCGGGGGAGGGAGGAGGGGAGGAGAGAAGCAGACGACTTAACACGCGCACACTGGAAGCACTGCTTTGTGGCGTCCCGATGAAGGCAGAACGGGGGTTGGGGGGTTAAAAACGCGCCTATCAAATTCCCCCCCCGACTCTTACTCTCCCTTTCCCTCACCACTCAGTCCCTCCCTCCCACCCTCTCCCACCCTCTCCCACTACCTCCATATCTCTGACAGGAATGAGTTTTCCGTCAGCCGACCATGAAATATTTACAGCAAACACATCTATTATTAAAAGTAAGAAGATTGGATCGGGGCTCGGAGATACGGCGATGCTGATGAGATGGATGCACACGCGGGGAGATAAGCAACAGCAGTGCCACGCTAACCGTGACATGTTTACAGCAACAACCTCAATTGTGCAAACACTCGGCGCTGTATTTGGGGATTTCTTTTAGAGGCTATCTATAATTCAGATGAACTGTGTCAGCTGGGACTTCAGGATCTCTCCCTCGCTGCACTGTTACTACTCTATCAGCAGCAGGATCATCCACAGAGCCACCTTTATCACCACCTTTATCTTGTGTTGCGCGGGTGTGTGTGTGTGTGTGTGTGTGTGTGTGTGTGTGTGTGTGTGTTGAAAACGTTAGCGTAAAAACACTCAGTGAGTGCAAAAAGAAAAATGTAAATGAATGAATCTTTAAACAATGAATATAATTTAAAAAGCCAGGCAGCACCATGCATGCATTCACCAGACTGAACCGCTGGTCCGGGGTCTGCCGTGGGCCGGAGCAGGGCCGGGCGACGCCCACAGACGCTGCATCTCCAGACAGCCTTTTTAATTAGACAGTAAGTAAGATGCTACAAAGCCGACGAGCTGCCTTTAAGCCTCCTGCCTGGACTGCTCACGGTTCCTCTGCAGTGTCTAGCGCACTGGCTGTCAACATGGAGAGAAAACAAATGAAAAATGAAAAGAAGGCCCATCTGCAAGACGGACAGCTTCTTGGGGTCTGGCCCAAAAGGGGAGGCGGAATCAGAGAGGATGTCGGTTCCCCCGAAAAACATGATAGAAAAATCAGCGAAAGTCGAAACTCCTGCTCGACTCTCCTGCTGCAATATATAATCATGAAAGCTGAACCAAAAAACTATAATTTGAGGATTAATCAAAGCCTGAGTGTACTCGTCAGGGCATGCAAGCCCATGAACATGCCGTGGCCTGTATTCAGCCCATAAAGGGTGCGTGCTATGGGCACATACAGGCCCACAGGCCGAAAAGGCTCGGCAGTGGAAAGAAGACGGAGTACTAGGATTAGAAAAAGAAAAAAAACGGAACAGGAAGGTTAAAGCTTATGATTCTTCATAATCATGTCCGAACAGGAGAGCCCATCAACGCGTTAAGCCTCACCGCGTGAGGGAGCGTCAAGGACAGCCCGTCCCTGCAGGCCAATCGGTGATTGCTGATGGAAATATCTCCCCGAAATACAGGCCCAACGTGGAACGCAGATCAGCGTCCCTTTATTCGCTCGCATGGTCCACTGGACCGATTGGACGAGAGGTCACGACACATCGGCCTCTCGCTCACACACATGCACACACACGAACACACATGCACACACACGCAGGGACAAGCTTAAAACAGCAGACTTAATCAGACTTGATTGTGGTGCATTGCAGCTCTGCTCAGTGAAAATGATTGTTGAGCGCTAGTGTATTATTAGGTTCATCTTTTAAAAAATGATGGTTTCTTTGTAAAAAAAAAAAAAAAAAAGGGAGGGAAAAAGCAAGAAACGTAAAATAAAATATATATAAAAAATTGGTTTGAAGGAAATGTTTTCGCAGCAACGTAGAATAGATGCAACAGAGAAAAATGACTCTGTTTATTTCCTTAACTCTGCCTCATAAAAGGCTACAAAGCTAAAGAAATTATTTTTTCATCAATACAATAAAGAAATAGGCAATAATATCTCATTAAGCGTGAGGACCTCAACCAGGTAAAAAGAGGAACTGTAAAAAGAGGACCATGGTGGCGGTAACGTAATTCATTCATCTGGATGTCATTAAAGTTCTCGGACAGATCATCTGAATCCACCGGTCCGCCTCGTAAAATAATCTACATCCGACCAGAAAATTGCAATCAGAGCCTCTCTGGCTCCGACGTGATCATTTTAAGTGGTCATTTCTTTTTGTCTCCCACTGCGACGGTTTAAAAAAGGACACGGAAACTGTGCACGTGAGCCATTTTCATCAGACGGTTTGTTTCAGCTGCCGAAAAGCGTAAACAACCAGGAAGTAGATTAATGGATGAACTCATAAACAGGCAGACGAATGGAGGCCGTCAGTGGATTAAGAGCCGAGAACAGCACCTCCGTACGTCCACACAGGCATTCCTGGCCGCCCGCTAAGGAGCAGCACTGCCCTACATGGCAGCATCATATAGTCACACAGGAGGGAGGGGGGTGATGGAAAAAGGAACAGGGGCTGGGACTTAACGGGACTGGAGAAAAGGGGATTATGGGAAATAATGACACGCTCTATTGGAGTTCTATCAGCTCGGAACTTTCCAGGAGAGATTTTTTTGATGCAGATTTCAGGCGACTCGGCGATCCTCCTCAGACACGAGGCTCCGCCTGAGGAGGACGGAGGAGATCGAGTATCGACCCAAACGTTTCCGATATTACTAAATAACGAGCACCATCTGGAGAAGGGCCTACCCATCCATGCGGCTTCACTCTCACTCACACTCACACACACACACACACACACACACACACACACACACACACACACACACACACACACACCAGTCGTGTTACCTGAGACGCCATATGTTTCTCCATACACAGAGAGGATGGGGGAGGGGGGGGAGGCTTTCACTGCAAACCTTTTCAGGCGTGCGTTTATGTCTTGTCTGCCGACTTCAGCCTCAAACCACCCGAGTGAAGCAAGCACGCACACACACACACACACACACACACAAACACACACACACAGGGCTGAGTGAGCTGCCGAGCGACACTCATCAATCATTGAAAATTCAGAACAGTTAGTCTGCTGGAGCTGTGCGGCGCTGTAAAGAGGCCGAGCCGCCGGAGACCGAAATAGTCTTTACAGCTTCGTCTGCCTCTGCAATCCGCCTCTTTTCTTCTCCTGTGGTCAGAGAAGTAACTCAGCCTGCGCCTCCCTCCGCCCCCTCCCGCCTCCCTCTTCGTGCTTGCCTGCCATGCTTGATGAAAGCCAGAGGGAGAATTTATTTTATTTACCCTCCCGCCCCCCTTTTAAAACCATCGAAACCCGCCCCTCAGGTCTGCCAGTGCGCAGAGCTGTCCGTCAAAGCGTAAGCCGCCGCCCATCTCCCCGTACGGCTGCAGCGCCTGCCGTCTCCTTCCTGACTGTAGGCCAATCGGATGACAGGAAGGCGGTTCGTCTCCATCAAAAGTGCGTTGGCTGAGCACCAGAGGACACATGGTCGGTTATGTGGCGTGACCGCGAAGCTCAACGGAAAGCTTCGCGCTGCTCTCAACACGCGGAATCAATAATGGAAAAATCAAACAGTTCCCTGCATAAAATCTAAAAAGATACACGTCACAACAGCGGGGAATCTCAAATGCTTTAATTGAACTGCAGGCAAACGCGAGGCCGTCTGTCATTTTGTAGCTGCTCTGAGATCTGTGACAAACAGCTGGTTTGTTTCTGACGGTTCAGTTCATCATCGTCGCTCTTTCTCCAAAAGCCAGCAAGTTTATTTCTGCGTCAAACCACAACAGACCAAAACATGCGCACATAAGGAATCATTAGAAATGCATAGATTGGAAGTTGTGTTTGTCACAAAACTGCCATAATTGTATAAAATGATTAAAGCCGTGATTAGTTGATAAATTGATATTCAGTCTGCAACTATTTAGTAGATAAAATCTAAATAATTCAAATGCGAGATTTTCTCTGCAGTGAATGGCAGTAAACTATAAACTAATATTATAATACACTAACATATTTGGGCTTGTTATAAAATTGTTTGCTTGGGCTGTTAGAAATTGTAACATTTATTTATATATAACTATTATCTTAAAATGAAAAACAATTAATAAATTGAAAAATACACAGCAGATAATGCAATAAAAATCATAAGTTACTTCAATAAAAGATGAAGCAAAGCTTTAAAAGAACATCAAACCAAAATACAACTACAATGGATTTGGTCTCTTTCATCGTCGGGCTCAACTCAGCATTCATCCGCATTCACTGGACGGAGCAGGTGGACGACCCTCCGCTGTAACGGACGACCCGAAGGGTCCACTCGCTTTCCACTTAAACAGTCCAAACACAGTCGGGGACCAGACCAGAGACCCACATGCTCGCTAGGTTTTAAGTCGATTGACAATAACTCCTGTTACTCTGGACCGTTCTGATTTATAGTTCATCCATTTTACCACCGAGAATCCCCCCCGAAAAGAGGCTCTTGCTGCACTGCCCCATCCGCAGGAAGAATTACAAAGAAACTCCTTGCGTTTGCGAATCCTCAGCGGATTCTGCAGGACGGGGGGGGGGGCTCGGACTTCTGCATAGGAAGAAAAAATAAACAATAAAGTGACTAGAGGTGCTGCGGTGCAAGAGCTGCTCGTCATGCAGATGGCGCACACATTTAGGGCTTCCGCTGCACCCGCATTGGGCAGCGGGGGTTAGAGCGGCATTAAGCGCCGGGCGCTATCGTCGTGGTTGTGAGGGCTGAAGAGGAGCCGTGTCACGCGGTGCACTTCAGCGCTTAATGTGAAACAGGTGAAACTGTGCAATGGAATGTCAGCGTTATCAGCGTCACTTTCTACCAACACAGTTTTACACACACACACACACACACACACACACACACACACAGGTACGTGTGAGTTTGTGATGGAAGCTCACAAACACCGAGCCCTGAGGGCAGCAGGCTTCGGGCGTGGATCCCGCGGCGCCTCGAGGAGACAATAAAGGTGAGGCTGCCGGGTCGCTCGCCGGCCTTCGCCGCGGGCTC